TGCATTAAATTGCTTGCCATTCAGAAAAGCCTTGGCTATAGAAATAATTTTCTCAACTTAAATAGGATAAAAATGGCTTCACTACATTGAATTTAATGAAATATAGACTGTGCTGTTGGTGATTATGAGATTTTGATTGACGATTCATGCAGCATGCAGCAATATTAATTGAAATTCTTAATGGATTTTTGAAATCAGAAAAATTCAATTTACTTGAATTAATCAAAATTCACAACAAGAACTTTCTTTCATGAGTTATAAAATTCGTGAACATATCAATAGCTTTTATGTTATGCTCATAAAATTGTATTTATGATGAGAAATCCCATTCCAAAAGGTACCACAATCATTTCTGACAAATGTGATGAAAATTTTATTTTGAAATGTTTAAGATCTTTGATTTTATTAGCTGATAAAGAAGGAATTGAGATTATTTTGTGTCAATATTTTTATAGCATAAAGATTCACTGAGTTAAAGGTTTCCCGAGCTGCACACAACCACAAAATAGTCGCTATTAAGCAACCTAGAAAAATTTAATCTCAAATAACGATGAATCATCAATTTCATCATTTAATCTTAAACCAAAGACTTTTAAAAATCATTTTAAAGTTAAGTGCAGATCGGGATTATAGAGATTATATTTCAAAAACTCACATCAAGTCTCACCATGATGTCTTATCTTATCACATTGACTTTACACAACATTTTTTTATCAACAATTTAATCAAATTTTTTAATAAATCAGCACAAAAAAAAATGCACTTTCTAGCCACTTCAGCAGGGTGCTATCTAAAAATAAACTGAATTTTGATGAATTTTAAAATAAACTGAAACTTTTACAATGCTACTTGGTGAAACTGAAACACTTTCCATGAAGTCATAAATAAATGAATTTTCTCTTCAACTGTAGGTAATATCAATAAAATGAGAAATGAGATTATTTTTTTTTTCCAAAACAAATTGAGTGAAAATTTTCAAATAAACCTTGTACACACGTATATTCTGAAATGAGCTGCGTAAGTGTGGTTGATGGAATCATATAAACATAGTATAATTTATTACTTAAAAGTAATTCAGCTACAAATTTAAACTTTTTCCCACATATTTTTTTTTGTTAATTTCCCACCAAAAAAATGAGTGAGTGATATTGTTTGCGATTAGTCATTCAAGTTGTCTGTCTATCTATGCCGATTAACATAACCTACAAATTTAAAACTTTTTGTATCTGTTTTCCGATCAGTATGCAAGGATTAAGTTAAAAAATGAGGAGATGACATCATAAAAATGGAACATTTAGAGATCCTGCCTTGCCATGTGACAAAAAGAGATTGGCACCTCTCTTGACAACAACAATTAGAGTTCACCATCATTTGTAAACAACCTCTTTGAAGAAAACTATGTAAATGATGTAATTTGGTTAAAATGAACAAAAATGACACTAATGGCTTTAGTTCTTGTCTTAATCGATAAAGTATGCTCCTCGAAGAATGATTAGCGATTCTGTGAGAAGCACCATAAAACTGCGCTTTCAACAGTCATCAGTAACCAATTTTACAATTTTCCCTACTTCTATTTTCATGCTTGTTTATTATTCTTATATTTCATCGTCTTCAACCGTCAAATATAAGGATTGTTGTTTGCACGACATTTTTCGCATGCTTTATATTCAGATTTCCGAAGAATATCAAATTTGAATAGGAATAAAACGCGCACAAAATCAAATAATGAAGAATAAAAAAAATCATTCTAAATTCTATTTACTGTTGCTGCTTTTTGCCCGAGGAGAAGTTTTCATGTTTTTCTCTATAAAAGTCGTGAATTATTCAATGCTCGTTCAATATGTAAGGGATGAAAGCAAAGAGATTTTGAAAGAATGTATCGATTTTAATTAAATTAAATGTCATGTTACAATATGAAGCAAAAAAAGAAGCTTGCAAAGTGACAAGTTCAGAATATTGTTAGACATGCAAGTTTCTTTCCATTTCAAAACACTCTCAGCACAACATACGTATGTAACATACTTTCTTTCTCAACTCACATACAGCACGCGTCAGCAGAAATACACATAAAAAATTAAATTATTTTCCTTTCTTCCTTTTAAGGCACCATCCTTGACGATTAAAAATATCTCTTCTGTTCTTCAATTTAATTGGAGGCTTAAAGGTTTTAATGCTTTATGTTCATTTTTATCCAAGCAAATATAACTCCTACTTTATGACCTTATCTTGATGTCGAGACTAATCTTTTTCAATGGATCATTGTAGTCATCTTCCTTCTTTTTTGAATGACAAACAACATTTTAAAGGAAATTACATGGTATGTTACCTTTAAGGCATAAGCTTGTTCCTTGCTCTCTTAATTTATGTTGATTTGGACAGCATGGTCATGTCTGATGTTAATTCTGTCGGCAAAAATAACAACAGCAGTAGAGACAACCTCCCTCAACATTTTACATTTGTGTTCGTTATCAAAATGTCATTTGAAACATGAGTCTATTTGGAAGGAGAGAACTTGGGGCGCCGATGGATCTTTACTCAGCATAGAAATCATTTTTTTCTGTGAATTTCATTTTGGCACGTGACATGACAACTTAAAATTGACTTGTTCTGCTCTTCTTTCTTAGACATGCTATTAAACTGATTATTTACTGTGAATTTGGTAAAGCTTATTTTACTTATGTGGATGTGGTCAATAATTTGGAAGGTGTTGAGGTTTTTATGATTCGATGGAACTTTAGAATGAAGCTGACATCAAGACAGAATTACTCTAGATTTCAGAAAATTACGGTCAAGCTATTATTGGCCACCCCAAGCTCTCAGAAGTAAGCAAGTTTTATTAATAATATGTCAGTCACTTTATGTATATTTATGGCCTTGAGGATGGAACGATAAAACCAAGAATCTCATGAATATTATGAAAGGAAGGAAGAAGATTTGAATTAATATGCTAGAAGTATAAAAACTGCATAATCATGATGGAAAAGAGAAAAGCACTTTCAAGGTGGAAAGATCTTCATGCACTTGAGAATAAAGAGTGGAATTCCATTAGAAATATGAAGTGCAAAATTTAAGATGAAATTTTATTCTGAATAATTTTCATCTTTCCTATCTCTTGCATGCTGGGGAGATGAAAATGAGAGAAATTGCTTTGTGTGTTGTTGATAGTGCCTGAATGGAATATGTGTGGAATTTACGTTTATACAAGAAAATAATTTTTCATCTATTCAGCAAAATTGAAATTTTCCTCATCTTAAATATTTTTTTTTAAAATCTCACAATGGAATTGTTTTAGTCAAAAAGCTAACAATACAGAAATATTTTTTTTTGTGTGTGCTCGATGTGAGACGAAAGCATATAAATGAGCCTGACTCTCAATGGTACAATAACAAAAGCATTTCATAAACATTGTACCTTTAGTTTTTGTGCATATAAGCTGACTAAAGGGTGGTTATCAAGTTATATAGGTTAGGTAGATGATGTCAATATAGTGAATCATAGGACGTATAACCTATAAAACATTGAATTCAGTAGATTGTAGGTTAGAATTAACAATTATTCACTGGATGTTTACATTTTTTATTCAATGAATAGTTTTTTCTGAATCTTAGAATAAACAAACACTTCTTCGTGTTAAAACCAAGACTAGGATGAAGTTGGGACATGATTAAGTCCTAAACTGTCATAAAATACAAACTATCTCACTTCCAATCGATGGCAACACCAAAACATTCACCATTCAAGTGAAAATAGAACACGTAATGTAAAAATCATGTTTTTTGTCATCCTGCCTACATATTTACACATCGAGGTTGTTGAATAATATTCAAATTAATTCAAATAAAGCTCTTCATTGTTTTGAAAACATCGAATGAGATACAAAAATAATAAAAACAATAATATTAATACGTGAACAAAAGTATAGTGGAAAAATATATATATTTTCTTTTTGTGTGTTGGTTATGTGATGATGATGAAATGTAAACATTTCCTGAATGCCTGTGTCCCATGATAACACTAATAGTAGATACAAAGAACCACAGTTAATGGCAATTGTGATCAACCAAAATCGATGATGGAAATAAGCTTTTTTCATTCAATGAAAAAACACATAGCAAGGCCAATTACGGTCGATGAGATCCATCTCGAATCAAGTGTGAGGGAATAATGAAGATGAGGTGGAAGAAATGTTTATTGGAAAGTATTGAGAAGGAAAAATGAAAGTTTACCAAACATACAACGATGGCGATCACTCGGAGTGATGATCATAGTGATGGTAATCACTCTACTCACAGACTACCATCACTATGATGACCATAGTGTTGGTAATCACTCCGGAATTCATTGACTGCCATCACTGTGAGTACCACATTGACTATCATCACTATGGTCATCATTACTGTACTCACTAAAACTTAAACTTTTTGAATGACAGAATTTTTTTCGAATGTCAGATTTTTTTGTAATTACAATCAAGATGGCAATCATGCCTACCATCATTGATGACCATCATTTGATTCCCTTACTTGTTAAATGTGATTGCAATCATGAAGGCAGTCACGACTACACTCATTGATGACCATCATTTGATTCCCTTACTTGTTAAATGTGATTGCAATCATGAAGGCAGTCATGACTACACTCAGTGATGACCATCATTTGATGCCCAAAAAAATTATTTTCCACAAAATATGATTAACATTACTATCATCACATGAAAGTGAATATCATATTTTATATGAATGTCAGAATTAAAAACAAATAAAACAAATAATTTTTGTGAAATAAACTAGGTGTATATTAGATTGTAATCACTGATGGTAGTCAGTGATGATAATCATGATTGCATTCACTGAGTACATATGATAAAATATTAGTTAAGTAAATTAATAATTTTATGAAAAAGAACATAAACATCAAAGAAACATGCAAGTTTATTTTAAAAAAAATTGGGACATTTAAATATGTCAAATTGCCAAAAACAAAGTATCTATTATATAGCAATGAAGAGTGATCTAGAAGGTGTGAGTTCGAATCTCAGCAAAAACGGTAATTTAACAAGTTTAAAATTTTAATCTAATCTCAATACTAATGATATAAAAATTAAGGAAATAATAATTCTACAAAATTTCAGCTTATAAAAAATCCTCTAAGCCAAAAAGTTAAAAATTAATTAAGTTATAATATAAAAAATAATTTTTTCTTTTATTTTTTGAGTAGTCAGTGATTGTCATCATGATAGCTTTCACTGATTACCATCATGATTACCATCATGTGATGGTAATCACAAAGGTAAAGAAGCGTACTCAACATGCTTTAATTGATGGTCATCATGTGATGGCAGTCATAATGATCATCAGTGATGGCTTAACTTGGATGCAAGCTTTCATGCAAGTAAGGTCACGTGATGGCAATCAGATAGGTAAAGTAGCGTACTCACTTAATGTATGTGAGTGAGTATAGCATCACTCATTTGAGTGATGGTAGGAATGATTGCCGTCATTGTATGTTCGGGTTATTGAGTTCAATGTTTACGAAACAACTAAGGAGAATTAAGACAATAGAGAAGAAAATTAAGATCAAAAATCTTAACCTAGTACGTGTTGATTAAGAAAGAGTTTGTGTGAATTAAGATTCTAACCGAAAAGTTAAAGATTTATAGTTTAAAGATTTCATCATCAAGTCTTTAGAGGAACTTTTGGAATGTTTTCAATACATAAAATCCGATTACAAACTTTTAGTTTAAAACAAGAATTTATGGATTTATGGTTCATTGCAGGAAGAATTTATTAAAATCCCACATGCATCTGTATGGTCTGTTGTTTAAATTTGACAATAGATTTATTAAGCTAGACAAAAATAGCCATAAACATGCTCAAAACATATTTGAAAAATATTCCAATAATTTGATTTATTGGAAAAAGTATTAATCTGTTTTATTGAGTTTAAGGAGTGCCAATTCAATTTAATTTTAGTAGGATTGTTGTTTCGATGATATTAAGAGTTTACTAAGCAGAGTTGGCAATTGAGTATTTGTAGTACAAAGTTTTTGAAATTGATCAATGACAGATCAAATCAATATAAGACTGAATCTTTGATTTTGGTATAGTATGGTATGAATTAGTCAGTTTAAGTTCATACAACATACCTAATAATCAAAAGGCTTAATATTTGCTTAATGTTACAAAGATTAACAAGCTCAAATCAAGATTTTCGTCGATTAAGCCTTCAAAAAAAATTCATAATAACTTAAAGCTTCGCTAGCAACTACCTCTGTCCAATGACACTCCTTACAACCTAAAAAGCTTCACCTTTATCTACAGTTTTTGTTTCTCCTTACCAAAAAAAGCATGATTTATGGTTTCGTGCTGAGGAACTTTGTTTTGATTAATTGGCAACAGCACTTCTTTCTTGATACAAATTACTTCTACAAAATCTAACATGTAAAAGTTAATTTGGCATCAAAAAATCATCTGTGCTTCTTCCAACGTAGAGTTTAAATTAATTACATGAATATTATGCAGTCAAAAATTAGGTGCAAATGAGAAAGTTATGTATCATAAAGAGGAACTCAATTTAGCTTAGTTGAGATTAATTTTCTGTGTCATAAATCTCAAATTTTGTCTGTATATAATTATGCCACTATTCATTCCATCGCAACCATCATGATTGCTCTTTACTAAGAGATAATACAATTTTCTTACCTCAAACTGAGAGTCCTTTTTCCTGTTAAGTGATGTCGTATTACCCGAACTTTGCACACTATTCATGGTTGATGATAAACTTTCTACTTCCTCCTTGTTTTCTTTTCTTTTTTTCTCTATTTTGTATGTGTATGTGATCGCAAGTTGATGATGAATAACTTTATCCTTGCTCTTTTGTCGCTTTATAACACGTATTATATTTATTTTCACAATTTTTTTTTATGCAATAGAGAACGTATGAACTCTCAATGTCCTTTTTTATTATCAACAAGTTCACTGCTGCTCTACTTTAGTATCCACTTGAACTTTTCCTTCACTTATTTCTTTCTAATTTTATTCCTATCCTCTCAAGAGGAATTGTCTTCTTAGTATTTACTCTCTAGTATCACAATAAGAACAACAAGCATTAAATTATGTGTAGATGAGTAGACATGTAGTATGTGACAGGGTGTGTCAACGTTATTTTCAAAATATTAAAATAATGTTTATCAAGAAATTGTCACTTTTATACTTTATTAATTTTTCAAAGACTGCTGAGATTTTAATAAAATATCGAAATATTGATGAATTTTTCAGAACCAAGAATCAATTTTTGGAAATTAGAACTAAAGATTTTAAACCTTAATGAGTATCAAACCAACAAAGGATTCTTAAAATTTTAATGTTCTGAAGATTTTAATTAAATTTTTAAACATTTCAATCATATCACACAATACTGACAATATCTATTGGCGCACACTGTTACATCCACTCAAGAAATAATAAAACTGTATAAAGAAAATGAGAGAGAGAGAGCGAGAAGTGGATGAATGACAAATCCTTTCTAATTATCTATCACTTCTTAGGTTTCATATTCCTTTTCAAGTTCACGCTTCTTTATGTCAAATAAGATTACTGTCTCATCATTTTGAAGATGGAAGGAATTCTATTACATAGTTTTTGTGTTAATGGCAAACTTGAAAAGAAGCACATAATATATAAAAAGAGAGAAAGTAATCGAATTGTGTCTGCATGTGGGCGATGCAGAGAATGAAATTATTTTCATGAGAGGAAGGACACTGATGTCTATTAATACAATGATAAGGGTCTTAACTTTTAAAAAGAAGTTTAATTTTAAAAATACTCATTTTATCCTGGACTGACTCATAGTCTATAGACTAGAGGATGAAGCTCAAAACAACTATTTTTGATCGACTACATCCAAAATCTTAGCTTGTTTCGTCCTCTGATCTGTATTGATGGTTTAAGAGTCAGTTTTATGATTATCATTAATTATCTCTAACATCGTCGCATCCTCAAATGGCACTTTATTTACTTTTATTGCTATTATTCTCTCAAGCATAACAAAATATATTGTTGACCTTAACAAATTTTTTAATCATCTGTCTCTGGAACTTTATAGCGCTCTGGTAATTTTCATCAACACATCATGTACACAACTTGCCTTAAAATGGGTTAAAAATTGTTGTTCATGCAGCAGCTTTTACTGAAATTACGCATGATGTGGATATAAGTGTGCTCGTAAAATTGTGTTTCAATCAAAAAAAAATTTGACATTGTAGCGTCATTTATTTAAGTATCACATCGTATGCGGAGCACTTGAGGCACTTTTTCAAGTGCAAAGGCTCAAATATCATTCCTTGATATGAAGAAATGCTTGCTTCATTTGACGTATGTAAGACAAAATAGGAATGTAAATGGTAGGGGCTATAAAGTAACCGATTTTTGTGAGAATTTTGTAATTTTTGTGGATCTGAGGTAGGTTTCTTTGGTATGCGTTTGTGTAGGTTTAAGTATTGATAATTTCGGATCAGTCATCTGTCATTTGTGATGTCAGACAGCGTCAAAATCTCTTTTCCCTATTATTCTGGATAACTGAAATCTCACAGAACTTTCTCGAAGGATTCAGATCCCAAAGACAAGATCTTATTCAAAAAATACATTCCCTCAACAGAATATCCAAAAATTTGAAACTTAATCCAACAAAAGCTCTACATTCTCGCTTAATATTATGCAGATCCCTTAAAGCTCGCGGAAATTTTCTATTTAAAAATGTTTTATGTTCAATCTCATCGTCAAAAGTAGATGGATGTATGGAGAATATGACACAGAAAGTCGGTGCCATGGGAGAATGAAAGACAGTCAGAAATACAATCGTAAAAAATGAAAAATTATTCCAAAGATGTAATGAGATGATGAAGGAATACAAGGCAGCTAGCTAGTGATGAATATGTAGAGAACAAATAGAAACCGTAGAAAAAAGAAATGAGACATAAAATAGACGAATGGATGGGTGTAAAAAAGAAAAAAGCATCAAATGATATGCTAATAAAAGGAAGGGAGACACAACAATTCGTTTTCATTAATAATGATGTTCATTTTCATCTTTCACATCGTTGGATGTTGAATTGGATTTGATGTTGTCAAACACCATATTCGACGGATATATGAATGAATGAATGAATGGATGAAGATGGGAGATAATCAAGAAGGAATAAGAAATGGATGGAAAAAAGTTTACGACTCTTCGATTGACAAATTTATGACTATTTTATATTCTGTTTGCTGTTTTTTCATCCTTTTTAAGATGGCAATTTTGGAAGAAAAGGAGAAGAGCGAATGGAGATGGAATTTAACAAGTTTAAGTTTCCTTATGTCAAACAAAAAATAAATGCTTAATGTATTTGCAACAGAAAAGTATAAGCATAAAATTCTTGGGTTTATGTCAATCATAAGCCATTTAATACTCTTCAGGATTCTGTATCGCGACAAAGTAATTTGCATAAATTTTCTACTTTACAGAATTACACAAAAATAGATCCCTTCCTATCTAAGAAATGATTGAAGAAGAAGAAAATGGAAAAGTTTCCTCACTTTTCGTCCACTATTTGTGTGTCTGCCTGAAAACTTTTTGTCCCTTATTTATTATTCCTTCAATTTTAAAACGGAGAAGCTTTCACACAAACATCCTTTTTTTGGAGTTATCGACTCACTTGTTACCAATTTGTTATTTCATCGAAGATGCCACAACAGATCACTATAGGAGTGTATATAATGTTAAGTATGTGTGTGCCTTGCTTTTATGCAATTTTCCTATCTATCCACAAACAGAGACCTTCTTTCTCTCTCTCTCTCTCTCTCTCTCTCTCTCTCTCTCTCTCTCTCTCTCTCTCTCTCTCTCTCTCTCTCTCTCTCTCTCTCTCTCTCTCTCTCTCTCTCTCTCTCTCTCTCTCTCTCTCTCTCTCTCTCTCTCTCTCTCTCTCCTTTCCTTCCTTCCTTTATAATTTCATATAAAACACGCACTTACAAAAAGAAAAGCAATCTCCTTACGATTCAGGAATTGCCCACCACTTTTTCTAATAACACAATCCACTGACCTCCCTTCTTCATCAAATATTCTTCTTACATAGATTAAAAAGAGATGAGAATTTTTCTTTTTTTTTTGATGTTGAAGAAGAGAAAAAATCTTTCTTAGCACATATACACGGTTCCACTACAACTGCTGTTTCTACTGTTTCTTTTTTTTTTTGTGTACCCTTTACCCAAAAGGAAATTTATATATATTCGATAGATTGAAGAGAAAACACGTCTGTATCCCACGAAAGAATTCTTATCAATGAGAAAAGCGTTCGTTCTTCTCTGCCGAATAGATTATGAGAGAAAATGTTACTACATTGTACATGCGTACTCGTGCAATGCAGTTACATTGTGATCAGGGATGGATTTTTGTTTATAATTTGTCACTGTCAACAAATATTCATCGAATAAAAAAAAGGATTTCGTGACTTGTTTTAGATTGTTTTGTGAATTTTTATTTTAAGCTTTGGTCTCTGGATGATGAGTTTAGAGATGGTTCACCTAAGATGTCCAAAAAATAACGGTTTTTTTTCAAAAATAATACAAAACCTTACAAATTTTGTAAAATAATTTGTATGGTTTTCGAATTTCTACCATAATGTTTAAATTCACAAAAACCGTTTTATTTTGAATTTTTTGTTACTTTTAAAAATTGTTTAAGACGAATGCGATTGAATCTCATTTTATGAACTTCTATTCTTATTGCTGGCTCGTAGGCTGTTTTTTATCATAAATGTCTTGAAATCACATTCATATTTCTACATGTTGACAATGAAATTTCTCCTCCTTTGTGTATGTACACAATAAGCCTAAAAGGCAGCTCTTGAAAAGGACTTTCTATAAAGCTTGAAAGTAAAACTATGTCAGTGCTAAAAACAAATAGGAAGTGGTGGAAATCCACTTGAGAATGTAAATAAAGGAATCCTTGAGGCTATAAGAGAATGATTTCTGTGTGCAGCAGTAAAAAAATTGGAAAATTAATGAATGAACATAATTTTGAACATCCCAAAGCTACTGTTAAGCTCGTTATAATATTTATTTAAGAGTAACTTGTTGATTTATGGAATTTTCGTCTGAAAAAAATAAATGATTCAAAAAGTTTAAAGCTATTATGGTCTATGGAACTTAAAGCAGCTATTTTGTCTCCTTTTTTACAGATTTATTTTTTTAAACTTTCTTTCCATTGTGAATGTTCTTTTGTGGATCATTGAACAGAATTTTTATTTATTTCTTTGAATTTCGTTATCATTCCAATTTTAAGTTTTACTATCCGAATGGCTGTAACTGAATGTTAATAGTTTAGTGCTCTTCCTCATAACCATCAGGTAATGGATTGACGTGTGGGTTCTGGAATAAATGAAATAAATATTAAGGATCTCTGGATCTTTACTGGATCATTTCAACTTACATGGAATAAGCTTTTGTTGCCATCACCCCAAGGGAATCTCTTGTCGCGCTTTCTCAAGTAATCATAGGCTACAAATGGTGGTCGTTGATGTCCATCAGCATGTGCCTTCTGATGTTCCAAGTAGGTATTCAACATACAGACACCAACAGCTGGGATAGCAACAAAGAATGACAAGCGCTTCCATAATTTGTATCCACCTAAAATTAACGAATAGACAGAAAAAATTCTCGGTTATTTGCGGACGTGATTATTATGAGATCCAGTAAGCCGAAAAAATAAAGGCTTAAAATCTCTTGACTAGCTTATTAGACAACATTGTATGCCTTAGACTAGCATTAGTGATATATGCATGACATAAAAGATCTATAATTAATGTTACAGCATAAGTTTTATCACTTTTATCGATATGCCAAAAAAATTAAGAATTATGCAATCATAATTTTATATTTTTGGATAACTCACCACTATGACCAGCAGATGCAGCTGTTCCTGTGTTTGAAAGATTAGCTGAGGCTGTTTGGAGACCTCGTTTGACGATTTGTGAAGCCATTTCGGACCAAATTTAATTTTTTAACAATTTTTTCACGAAAATCAATGAGCGATTTGCCGCAATCAGATTCCCCAAGAAGCTACGCTCAATGTATTTTTGTGTCCCTTTTCAATTTGAATTTTCGGTTTTTATAAATCTGTTATTAGCGCTAATAGTGGTCCAGATATATGCTATTCACATTATTTCAAGCAAAACAATCAATAATAAACCATATTTAAGTCTCCAGACATGCTTAAAACATTGATTTAAGAGAATCAATTTTAACGATTTTTATCATGCAACCACGTGTTGGAAAATTGAATTTTAAAAATCCGTTACAAGCAACATGATTTTAAATCATAAAATTCTTATCAATTTAATCGTTTTCATGATATTGATAAGTCATAAAGTAATGATAATTATTATCGGTGTAAGTTTTGATATAATGTAAAACGCAGGTATTCGCTCGAAAGGCACAGAACTGTTCAAACGTTTCAATCGTGTGTTTCAAAAATAAATTACAATTTAGAAAATATTAATTAAATTAAAAATAGTGCTATAATAAGCTTGCAGAAATGGTTAACGAAAAAGCTGTTCTTGAAATTGGACAGTCGGGAAGGTAGTCAGACAAGTGAGATACCGGAATTTGAAAAGCATTTGACAAGGACAATTGATTTATTTTAAAGAGAGGGAAGGGGGTCTTTTTTGATTTTTTATGGCATGTGAATCATTCTTTTAATTTTACAGAAAAAGAACCTTTCAAAAGGCAATAAACGTGAACGACAATTTTCCTTATTTGTAAAACAAATACAATATTGGATACTTATGCAATGACTTGATATTATTTTTATCGCAAACATTTGATTGGTGAATTAATTAATCAGCTTTTTGACATTTAATCGTCGTCATATGATTTTCACTAGAAATTGGATCCGCAAATCATTAAAATGACATTCTATGGTCTCCTTTCAGAGATACAATTTTTGGATTATACCTAAAATGGAATAGTCATTGTTCAGAAGCACTTGCTCGATCAGAAGATAAGCTTTTCTCAAGTAAAGAAATTTAATCACGTTTTTTTACTATTAATTATAGTCATAATTACCTCTTGAACATAAGTATACTTACCACATGTTATTTCTAGAAATAGCAAAGCCCTTTAAAAGATATCATGTCAAAATCGGAAAATGCGTGGGAAATGACGATAAAATCTGGACATTTGAGATGAATACCGACAATACAAAAGTTCCAATAGTCTTACTACATGGATTCGGTAAAAATCCCTCTTATCTCTTATCATAAATCATATAAACTTCAATAATATTATTATTTTTCTTATCTAAGGCGCTGGAATGGCTTTTTGGGCATTAAATTTGGAAACACTTGGCGAATATCATCCAATATATGCATTTGATATTCTAGGATTAGCACGAAGCTCGCGACCAATATTTTCTAATGATCCACACAAGATTGAAGAGGTATATAAGCGACTTAGTATTTATAAAAGTATGCATCGTGTTTTCAAATTGCATAGTTATTAAAATATTCTCCATTCTCAAATAATTATGCATAATGAAGATATGCTACTTAATTGTGTTTGAAAACCTTAAAATATTAAAACAATTTTACACAAAATTAAACATTTGAATGGTTTTTACAACTTTTTGATAAATCTGTGCTTAAAAACCTTACAAATGTTCGACTATTCGTGAATTTGTATTGTTTTCGTCAACTTTGTGTTTGAAAACCGTACAAATGTAAATTTTATGGTGATTAATTGTTGAATTTGTATTGTTTTTAACTCAAAAATCTTCAAAAAAATTCTAATCGGTACAAAAATGTATTTTCAGGAATTCGTCATGTCAATCGAGAAATGGCGTGAAGCAATGAATTTTGAGAAAATAATCTTAGTGGCTCATTCATGGGGAGGATTTTTATCAACATCTTATGCATTAAAATATTCTAAGCACTTAGAGCACCTAATTTTAGTTGATCCGTGGGGTTTGGACGATGAACCTGATATGGCTGATTTTCCACTCTGGAAGTTGTCAGCAGCTTATGGTGTTCGTCTTTTAGAAGGATGCTTTTCAGTGGTTCGAGCTTTTGGTCCTTTGGGTACTTGGCTGATTAAGAACGTACGACCTGATATTCTTCAAAAATATAATTCCATCGTCGATCAATCTGTGATGTGCGAGTATATTTATCACTGCGTAAACAATAATAATCCAACGGGTGAACAAGCTTTTCATAGAATGACACGTGTTGGTCCATGGCCAATAAATCCAATCGGCGAGAGAATGAAAAATCTAGATGACAACCTTCCACTCACATTTTTATATGGCTCAAGGTCATGGACGAGTAAAACTTATGGCTATATACTCAAAGAATGTAGAGGCGAAAATTCATACACAAAAGTCAAAATCATCGCAAATGCTGGTCATCATATTTATTCAGACAATCCAGAGGACTTCCATGATGCTGTTTTGGAGGCTTGTAAAACTTTGAAATCCAACAGGAACAATTGAATTGGGATTTAAATGCTCATGGGGAGCTTCATTTGTGATTTTTATTAATATTTGTAAATTAAATTGTAATAAACGGAAGTGGATTTAACCAGTTTGTATTTTTATGTCACGCTGATATTTGCCTCGAGCATTGTATGTAAGCAGCATAAGCATTTAACTCAAAATCAAAACAACAAACGACCTTGAGAACCTCAAAACAACCAAGAGGCATTTGAACAGTTCCGATAGAGTACATACAAAAAATCAGCCGGTTATCTACTCAATACATGTAAAGAGCCACGCGTGTATCAAAATACCGAATGCTTGTATTATTCGCGTCTGTCAGACTGTATAGACTAGTTGCGTAAAGAACATAAATGTTTTGAAACAGATGAAAAATTCGGAATTACGCTTGATATTGTGTTGGCATTGACAAAAAAGTCACAATAATAGTTTGGAAACAGACGTTATCGTGCACAGAAGTGAATAGTGAAAGAAAAAGCTTCGGAAGTGAAGATATAAGCTTCTTCTACTTTAGCTATAAACATATTGGTGCAAATTATTTCTGTTTTACACAATTCTATCGCGGACGGATTGATTCGAGTCGTGAAATTTCTTTAATACAGTTGCGAAATAGCTCTTGAACTGGAAAGACTTAACTTTTTTAAAATAAGTAACAATGAATTCTCTTAAATGTTTAACTATTAGTAGGCAGCATGGCCTTTTAATTACGAGAAACTTTTCGACTTCTAATCTAAATTTAGCAAATCATAAGTAAGGAATATTAAAATTTATTAAGCCACAAAGGGTTTAAAGTTATTAATTATTCAGATGCAAAGTGCTTATTGTTGGAGGTGGCGGTGGAGGTACGGCTGTTGGTGCTAAATTATGTTTCAAGTATGGTGCAGGAAGTGTCATGTTTTTGGAACCGTCTGATGTATGATAATTAAAATTTTCCATTGACTTTATAGTCACTAACATTACCTTACATTCCTTAAATTATATAGCGTCATTACTACCAACCAATGTTCACATTGATCGGCGGTGGAATGAAGAAACTTGAAAATTCTTATAAATCCATGAAAAGTGTATTGCCGTCTAAAGCAGAATGGAAGAAAGACAGAGCAGTAGCATTTGATCCAAAAAGTAACAGAGTTGAGACAGAGAAAGGCGATATAATTGAGTATGACTATATGGTTGTATCAACTGGAATTGAATTGAATTATCATAAAATTCCCGGCCTTGTCGATGCCTTAGAAAATCCAAACAGTCAAGTCGTTTCAAATTATTCACCGAAATATGTCACTAATGTCTTTAAGGCATTCGAAAAGTTTAATGGTGGAAATGCAATCTTTACGTTCCCAGCATCTCCAGTTAAATGTCCAGGTATGAAAAATATCACAAACTTAAGATGATTTCCAATTCCTACTGAATATTTCATCATAAAAAAAATAACAGGTGCTCCACAAAAGATCTGCTACATCTTCGAACATTATTTAAGAAAAAATCATAAACGAAATGATGCTAAAGTTTACTACAATACAGCACTTCCAGTGATTTTCGGTGTCAAGCATTATGCTGATTCTTTATGGCTTGTCGTGAAAAATCGAGACATTAATGTCAATTTAAGTACAAATCTTATAGAAGTCAATTCAGAGGCAAAAAAAGCGACCTTCGAAAATATTGTTACGAAGGAAAGAACAACGACGGATGTGAGTATTGAGTCTTCATCCCATACATACGCATACATAAATAATAATAGAAAAACAAGAAGATGCGAATGATTATTTCGCAATTTTAATATTTTCTTTCTTCATATCTTTTACAGTTTGGGCTTCTTCATGCTGTTCCACCTATGAGCACGCCGTCTGCTTTACGTGAGCATTCTGGTGATTTAGTTAATGAATTGGGCTTTGTTGAAGTGCATAAGCATACAATGCAAAGTGTTAGATATCCAAATGTCTTTGCAATCGGTGACTGTGCCAATTCACCAAACTCAAAGACCGCTGCAGCTGTAGCAGGTCAATGTCATGTTGTCTATAGGAATCTTGTTGACGTCATGGAAGGAAAGAAACCATCAAAAAGCTATGATGGATATGCATCATGTCCACTTGTTACTGGATATAATACATGCATATTAGCTGAGTTCGATTACAATCTTCAGCCTTTAGAAACCTTCCCATTCGATCAATCTAAGGAACGATTAAGTATGCTGATTGCTAAGAAAGATTTTATGGCTCCACTTTACTGGTACGGACTGGCTAACGGCTTATGGAACGGACCAGGTTTTATCAGAAAAGCACTCAACATTTTCAGATAAATTTCAATTTTTTTCTTTTATCAGCGGAACTAGCGTTTATTAATTTTTTATCGGTTCCAATTATGATTAGTAGATATTCTAATTAATTACTCTCGTACACAAACATACATATGATCAGTGATATTGTTTGGCAGTGTTAGCGCCAATCTTTGTTTTCAATGTATGCCTTGCATGCATTTACTCGACGGGTCTGCAAGAAATCTAATGTACAAGACCATAAATTTGATATTTAATATTAAAAACATTCAGCATAGGAAAAAGTAAATTTCAATTAAGAAGATTGATTATGCAGGCACAAGACAAGAAGTGGGGGTCAGTCAACCTAATTTATTTTAATACTTACTATCTCCTGTTTTATGGGAGCGGTTCTTTAACAACACATAAAATGGTCAATTACATTTGCAATACATAAATGCTGTGTATATACAGTAATAATAGACATAGAAAGTAAATTTTATGTACTTTAAAGGAATTATTGCATGTTTGCAGTCAACACAAATAAAACAATACATTTTTAATGTACATCCATAACTTTTTTATATTCTTTTGAGTTGTAATTTATTGGATTTAGAAAGGACATGGATACTACTCAGTTTCTAGAGTGCTCTAAATTGAAAACCAATTAGTTTTAGTGACCAACTTGTTTATTGAAACAACTCGAGCGAAACAATTCAGTATTTTTTAGTCACAATGCTGTCAGTGTGATTTTCTATGAAGTTCAGACGATTTTTCGTTTACAACTTCCTTGAGGCTACGTCCCTGATAATTTTATGCCATTAAAGGTTGTTCATTATTGATCATGTTGGGTTTCTGGGGTTTTATAGCTAAATATCATAAGTAAACAATCCCTGAACAGCAACAAGACTGACTCTACTTCAAAACAATGTCACCAACCAAAATAGGTTTTTGAATTACCTTCAAGTCACTAATCAGACCTTTCAACTCATTCAAAAATACAGCACAAATATCAAAATTCACCTGAATCACTTAAAAAACCTTCTTATCTTTTACGTTCCTTTAAAATTGTCTGGATAACTTATCAAGCTCTGCTATCACACATATCAATTTTTATACATGACCTTTAAAGCATTAATCTTTCAACTCCACGCGTGCAAATCATATAAGTACAAAAATAATGACACAATTGTAAAACAAACATCATGCATGTGATAAGACTTTTGTTGATTTTTGGATAAAATCAATTTTTGTGGACGTATGAATCAGTGAATAAATATTTTGAAGATAATTTAACACATGTTAAGTGATTTATTTACAGCAACATATAAATTTTGTTTTGCATTATTGCTGGTGCTGTTGATTGATATGTCAAAGGTTTAAGTTTCTTTTGGCATGGATTCAATTTTTGTGTACATATCGTACTTCAAATTAAGTTGTAACTTTCTTATCGATATCACACCTTGCTTTTCAGAGAATTTTGTGATTGACTAATATACACCAAATAGTCGATGAAATGATGAAATTTTGTTAAATTATTGGAAAAAGCTTAAGCTAAATAAAGAAAGCAGTAATTTTATATTTAAAATGTTAACAGTCATTTTGAATTCAAGTTTAAAACCCCTCAAATGTTTGATGAAAACATTCTAATTGTTTTAAAACTTGAAACCATACAAATGTTTCAATTTTCCGTTAAAATTAATTCAAATGTTTTACTTGGTGGATCTTTTGTAAACCTGAGTTCAAGATGTTAAATTTGGCGTCAAATTTGAAAATAATTCAGGATATATATAAAGAATAATAATTGTACTTCAATTCTGTTCTTTAATTCAAATTTTATGAAAAATCGATTGTAAAATATTCATAGTTGTGGCCAAAAAACCTTAATCGAATTATTTATCGAGTAAAAACTCTTATAAACTGCCATAATCTAAGCTTGTCTCTAGCAAAAAAATGTAAACAAAAATCCAAAAGTTATCTCTTAATAGTTCCGAGATAAAAAAATAAGCATTTATCAAAAATAAACTTACAGACAAGCATTTTTATGCAATAATAATTAAGCTTCTTGTTGTGCAGCTTCAGTAGTGTCGCTCAAATTTTCATCCATGAGCACCAATTCAGCAAAATCTTTAACAATTTGTATTTCAATGTTTAATTTATCTACAGGAACTGATTCATTCAACTTATCATCTTTTTCAGCAATATTTACAGTTCCTGAACATTCAGGCATAGCACCATCATTTTCCATGCGACCGTAAACATTTTCAACAACCGTACCGACTTCGTCAGTTACTTGAATAATGAATTTTTCAATGTTTTGCATGTCCATTTGTAATTCTGTGATAGCCTCATCTTTAACAATTCCTTCTACTTCATCTACTGTGTCCGAAACTTTCACATCAATTTCCACAGTTGTTGGAGTGTCTTCAAATTCACATCCAACGCCATCTCGATTTTCTTTGACTGTTTTCATGCTGTCAGAACCAACATTGAATGTTTTGTTTTGCTCAGAATCATCAGCAATTGACTCATCAGATGAAGTATTAGTAATGAGAACATCTTCTTCGATAATAACATCTAAAATGCGATTGTTAGTGTTGTCAGGAACATTTTCAGCAAATTCTTGATATTCCAGTTCTTCATCGATAATTTCACTCATGTTTTGGACGTAATTTTCCATTGAACTAAATTCTGCCATTTCAATAACTTCTTGGTCGTAATCGTCTGCTTGAAATTCACTTCCTGATTCTGCTACATCTATTTGATCATAATTCAAACTTTCAGCTTCCTTGCATATGTCGTTAATAGCACTTTCGACTTTCATTTGTTGTACACTCGGCGATGCTTGAATAAATGCTTGATTTTTACTCAAATCCTTTTTCTTTAATCCATTAATAAGGCTTTCAGCAAGGTTGATGAGATTATCAACATATTTTGGATCATTAATAAATTCATCTGGCAATTTCTGACTGATATTCTTGAACATAACTTGAATCAATGCAAAGGATTGAATCTTCAACTCGTCACTTAATTCATAGTTATGAGCATTTTGATAGATGGCATTTGCATTTGAGGCATTCAAATTATTCATTAGGATTTCCTCACAGATCTCCTTCAAATATTGAACATTGTAAGAATGAGCCAAGCTTAAAACATCAAAAATTGTTGCATCGCTTTTATCAGCCAGTTTTCCACAATACAAGAATCGCAAAAACTCATTGAATCCATCAACAGAGCAATCCTTGATCATTAGCTTATTTCCAGCATCTTCGATTGCTTTTAAGAATGCTGGTGCTCGTGCGAATATTGCGAACTTATGTCCCTTGATTGTAGTTCCATTAACATCGAATTCACAGTCACAGAATGACTTGTTGTCAAAGATTTTTTGCAGATCCTTTGAATATTTCGAGTCATCAAATTTGGCTTCTTTCTCATAGCCATCACTAACGATCAAAATCTATTGATTTAAAACAATATTAATGTTAATTAAGGATATTTTTTTTATAGTTTCACCTCAAACTCCAAAACTAGATTTTTGCGCAATTCCAAAAAGCGAATATAATTATAAGCTTCCATGAACATCCCAGGTCCAGCAGAATAGCGAGTTTTAAGCTTTAGTGGATTAATAAATCCAAAGGATGATTCGTATTTAATTCCATTTTTGATCAAAATCGAGAATTCCTTTGTTGACTTATCAATGCCTTCAACATCATCAAACATTATGAATGGAATAGCACCTATGACTTTTCCATTCTCATAATTCGGTTCCATCAACATCCTGTAGATATAAGTAATATTTTCATTTTTTCAAATACTTCACATAACCACACTTTTTAAACTTACTTAACAATTGTTTTTCCACACTCGATTTTGTTGGTATATTTGTTTTCTATGTTGTAATCATTGATTGTCCAGACAAAGTTTATTATTTGGGACTTTCGCAAGCCACTCTTTCCTTTTAAAATACCCATAATTAATATTTTTCACAAAATTCGCTCTGAATTATTTTTAAATGAAAAATTTTCTCTCATAAAACTTTGAATAAAATTCAAATTTCTAAAATACGTTACAAGTTGAAACAACACAAAACTTGTAAAAATGGGATTAAATCAAGAAGTAAGTTAATTAATTATTTGAAGACATTTATTAAGTATTAAAACATTGCAGATGCAGCACAACATGATGATCAAAGAGAGATTCTTATCAAAAACTAAGTATTTGGTCAATGGAAGTCTATTTTACATCTATTCTAAGAAAATTCTTAATTCCAATAACATTTATTCGTGTAATTTATGTGGAGTAAGTGAAATTGTTAATGAGAATGGCCTTTATTTCCATGATGAAAGCATTTTACATCGAGAACTATCTAAATTAGATAGTGTTCCTTACAAAAAATGGATGAAAGACTGTATTGTTATTGAAAAATCAACAACAAGGTAAATTTGTTCACTGGATCTTAACTGGATCTTTTAATTAACACTTTATATGTGTGTAGAGAGCCTAGAAAGAAGCTAAAGTTAGTGCCAACAGCAATTGAATTGAATGAGAGTCAAAATGAACTGAAATGTTCATCAAATGACTGTATAAACATACATGATTCAGTTGATAAAGGAAGTAAGAAGAAGCATATCCCGAAGAGTTATAAGAACTTTTCGATAAAATACGAATCAAGCAACTCGTCAGACAGTGACAATGAAAATACAAAATATCAAGCTTCGAATCGTTTTAGAAGTTTTTCGGAAGGAGATCAAACATTACGAACATTTTTGTCAATGTGTCGGCAACTAACATCTTTAGAAGACTTTCTAGACGATGATTTAAGAACAGAAGTTAAATCTTTATTCCTGAAATCAATTGAACTAGAAAGGAACTCAATTGGATCCTCAAATACATTGTTGACGATGGAAACGCTTGATTTCCTATTCAGCATCAAGGCATCCTTATCAAAGCGACTTGATACAATTCCTTTCAAGTTTTTGCGTTTTATCAACTTATTTTATGATGATATGCTGCATTTTACTGAAATATTTGCCATTAAAACCAAAATGCTTAAGGTACGGACGTAAAGTTTGTCAACTCTAACAACAATTCTTATGTATTTACTTCAACTTTAGGTTTACAACAATTCAATCAGCAACATCGCACGTAAGTAACATTAATCAGGAAGATAAAACTTATTAGCTAAATAGTGTAAAAGTCTGAATGATGACTGCATGCTAGTGCATATTTCATAGGAAGGAAATGGGAAAATTTTAATGTTATTTTCAATATATTCACAATTATTATTATATATCCTCATTACTGTTAAAACATCATCGCCAATTAGCGTTGGTGGTTCCTCAAAAAATTTATCATATTTTTTAAGATCTTTCATTAGCGGATAGTCGTTGACGCACGCATCACATGAGCATTTAAATTGAAAATCCTGTAATAAATTCATTTGTCTTTTATCGCGATCACATAGAGTAAAGTTAGATCTGAAAGTTTAAAAGAGTAGCTATGAGAAATCAATAAATTAATTAAAATGTCATTTAAGCTTACAAATATCCAACGAAAAGTTGCTGACCAGCTTCAATTGGCTTCTTTGTAACATAAACTTGCTTGTTGTCGATGAAGAATCTGTAGAGATTTGGTGAGCATGAATGATTCAGTAAACTTGCAAACGAAAAGATTCCCGAACCAATTTCCACATCATTAAGTGCTTTAATTGAAGGCATGCAGTAAAATAAGTAGGAATTACGGTCAATGATTCCCATAATTCTAAGAATGAATCCTCTAAGGAAATCCTTTTGTTCTTTAGTTTTACAGAGTGACTTTAATGTCTGATCATTGTCCAAGAACCATTCAGCCATTAATTTATCTTCTTCTGATGTTATTGCCTTCTTTAATGCATAAACAGCTCTCAATCTATTCCTATTTCGTTCCTTATCATCTGTTATGCTGACATCGAAATCATAAATCGATTGACTGCTCTTAACACTGCCTAGCACTGTCTTTAATGTCTCAACACTTCCATCACACATGTCAAGCGACTCAAAAATAATTCTTTGTATCATCAAGTCATACTCATTATTTTCAAGTGAGTCTTCTAGATGACCACATTCATATCTGTGAAAACGCTTCCATCCAAATTTCATGCATTCTTTTGAACAGTACATTGCTGTGGGATTTAATGATACAATTAGGTATCAGAGATATTTTGAGGGTCAAGTTTTAATACTTACTGCTTACACAAGACTGCTGCGTACATGGTAAAAGACTCATGACATTTGATTTCATGCAATTTGCACATCTCTTGTACCTAACATCTTTATTTGGCATTTTAAATAAAGGTTCTTCAATAATTACAACCTCACCAGTTTTGAGTGGCTTGTCAGTGACTATATAACGTCCATACTTCCATGTTTCGTGTAATTTCAAGCAGTCAGCAATGAATGGGATCTTTTTATTCGTTGGAAGTGAAATTTTAAAGAAGTTTAAAGGGTCGTCGTCAGATTTTTCATCTTTAAGCCTTTCTGTGCATTCATTTTCTATCATAAGTGCATCACCTTTATATCCATGAGTTTTTGCCAATTTTAAATTCTCATGACACTTTTCGTAACGTTGGATCTCAAAGTAAACCACTGAACGAACTGCAAATATTAATCCGAGCTGATCGTCTGATTCAGCATAGCATAAACTTTTATTTAATTCAACAAGTGCTTCTGAGTACTTTTTTAATGCCTTTAATTCACTTGCGTTTACTAAAAATTTATTTGATTTTTGATTGCACTTGAGAGGAACAGACTGCATGCTTCTGTAGCTGAATATTAACTCACGAACGAACGATAGACTTTGAAAGTTGCATCACTTCTTCTTATGACCCAGAAAATATCACGGAGAATTTTTTTATATTTTTGTAGACTAAGCAGCACAGACAGCACACACGATCGCTGTGAAAGAAAAACATTTTCTCAAGGCATAAAAATAGAAAATTCGTTAGGAAAATATCAATTTTTCTTTATTTCAGCATTGATAGTTTCTTTAAGACATCAATGCCTGTAATTTTGATATGTAAATATGCTATCAGTTCATGTGGATATGCTATAGAGAAACAGTCGGCTACAATATTCTCAGTATTGCTCTTTGATTGCTCAATCACTTTATTCAACTTTATGCATGCAAATCTGGAATTCAAAAGGTGTTTAAATTTTTAACGATATTTTAAAATTCAAAAATTCATTCAGTAAATTTGAGTTCATTTCATTTTAGTTCAAAAATTTGAATCTTTAAAACCCGTTAAAATTCTGAATTAAATGTGATTTATTCTTACCCAACTTCGTCGCAATTCCCGCCATCATCATCATCATTTTCAGCATCGATTGGTTCGCTGACAATTAAAAATTTTATCGGTGTATTTGTCTTCTTATCGACCATTGCTTTAAAATGTTTAAAATCTTTGTTTTGTGCATTAATATCAAATTTCCTAATCATGTTATACGCTGTAGAATCTCGGGACTTTTTCGGTTTGGGAAGTGATTGTGTTTCAAGCAGGTAGCCTTTGTAGTTCATAAATGAATATTCTACGTATAGGAAGTTAGCATTATTGTCATCTAGCAATGCTGAATTCTCACAAAGTTCTAATTTAATTATCTCAATTTCAATCGTATGCGTGTTGTGCTTTAACCAAATTTTCTCATTATCGATGTGGTCTAAAACAAGCTGAGGAACTGATTTTTGACTTGATGTTGAGTTTCTAGATGATGTGCTGCGATGGATGTATTCTTCTAGTGATTCGTTGTCAGACTTTTTTTGAGTCGCTTTTAGGGTTGGTTTGTAGTCACTTAAATTAAGTTTTAGATGTTCTTGACCTGAATTATTTGACAGTGATGAGATTCGAGGTGTATACATTGGTGATATCATTTTAGTATCCACACTAAGTCTTACACGCTTCATCATTGATAATTTTGTGGATTTATTGGTTCCCAAAATGTCACTCAAGAGTATGTCCTTAGCACGTTCAATTGATGTTTCTATTTTGGTTTGCTGAGCTGTTTTTCTTTCCTTATGCTGTTAAAAATCCAAGAAAGAAAGCTTATTAGTATCACTTCCAAAAATAATCATAAAGTCCGTCGAAGAAAACTCTCAACACACAAAGCAAAAAGTCCTTTACCATTACAAACTTTATTCTTAATAAATTTAGCGAGCAAATCGTTTACAGACATAAAATTGAATGTACTAAGTTTCTTAACTACATATGACACAGAAATCCACACTACTTATGAATATATTTTTTTTGGAAGTTAGCAAAATTAACTACAGAAACATTAAAATAATTAATTTTCAGAATTAAGTAGATACTCGTAGTCCTCTTCATCCTCTATCAATTCACTGACACCATCTGCATCACTCACCTGATCTATGGAAAATGTCTTTGGGTCGAATTCGTCGTCTCCGTCTTCCTTAGAAACTACAAAACGTAATATAATTTCCAAAATTATATTTTTGTGTAAAAGAACCAAAAATAGGATATAAAGTGCTTACCTGACTGAGAAAACATTTCAGCGAATGCCTGCTTGTCAGGAGAATCACGTGGAATTGTTTGAACATCTTGAGAATTTATCGTACTTGTGCAATGCTCTTCAGTTTGCTTTGATGCCTCAGAAGTGGTTGGTTCAACAATCTTTGGAATGACTTTAAGATCTTTTTCAGAAGATGCTGGACGTTTATCATCGTTTATAATAACTGGTGGAATAGTCAGGTTTGATGTAGACGACTTTCTGCGAGAATCTAAAGTTGAGGTTGGTGACTTTTCTGGTGAAATCATTTCTAGAGATGTCTGTCTAATAACTTGCTCGTCAATATCATATATTATTAAAACTTCATCTGAGCAGCTTGGCATCATTTCTGGATCTCGAATTGTTGGTGTTGGGAGCTTAAGAGTCTCATTAATCTGCTGTAATTGATGAATATTCTCACTTTCTAGATACTTCATGCGATCTTCAAGTTTCTTATTTTTGTTGATTAAGCTATCATTTTCAGATTTTAAGCCTTCCAGCTTAACAACCAAAACGTCATTTTCTTTCTGTAAGTCCTTCATTTTTCTCAATAACTCTTCCTGTGAATGCTCAATTGATGCTCGATCCTCTCGTTCTTTTTCTAATTCTCTTTCACGCAAATTTAATGTATCAGCCATTTCAGACATGCTTTTTTTGTAGTTGACAACCTCGTCAGCAATTGTTGCATATTTTTCATATTGCATGGCTATTTCTGCCTTATCTTTTTCTAATGATGATATCTGTTCCATCAGTTCCTCAACCATCTTCTGAGATGCTTCCAAATCGTGTGATTGTGCCTCATATCTCTTGACTTTGTTCCTTTCTTTTTCAATTGTTTCCGTTAATCTTTCTGTGAATTTAAATTGTCGGTTAGAAATAATTTTGAATTTAAAATGAAAACCTTACAAATGTTAAAAAATGATTTGTAAGGTTTTCAAACATTTGAAAATACATTTACCGTTCTCAGCGATATTTTCATCCAATTTCTTTTTGTATCTTGTTTCCATTTCCCTCAATTCAATTTGAAGTTCCTTTATTTTCCTATTTAATTCCGCAATCTCAACACTAGTTTCCAGTTCCATTTGCATTTTCTTCCCATTTAATTTATCCTTTAATTCGCTTATTTGTATCTCATACTGGGCGTTTGTTTCCTTTTCCAATTCACTTATCTCTTGAAGCTTGTTTAATTCCTCTGTAAGCCTTTCAATTTCATCCTGCATGTCCCGTGTTTTATTCGAATCAGCCTGAAACATACAATTATAATTTATAAATTTGACAGCACAGCAATTTTCGCAAATTTTCTCACATTCTTTACGTCGGAACTTTTATTATTGCTATGGGATCTACTCATGGTTTCTTGCAAGGATAATTCGCTGTATAGAAATGGAAATATTATCGATCAAACAGGTAGAAAAATGAAAATTTCGACTACTTTTACAAAGTCACCTTTTAAATTTCGATAGATTTGGAGTTGAATTTCTCAAGTTTTCGTCAATTGATTTTCTAGGAATTGCTGATGAAGAAGCAGGTCGATTATTACGACCTCTGAAAAACTCTTCTGCTTCAAGGATTTCATTATTTTCGTCCATAAACAGGAACTCTCGGGACTTATAACGACTGTTTTCTTTTGATAGCCGCAATAACTTTGTTGTAAGTATTTTAATCTTCTCTTTTTGGACATTATTTTCACGTTTCAGGTCATAATTCTCATCAATTAGTCGTAGATACTTATCCTCTAGTTCCCTTCTTGTCAGTTTTCGGACTATTAAATGTTGCATAATCAGCCCTAATTTTAATAAATTACCTTTATGAGTCATAAAGTTTTAAAAAAAGTAACTTTTCATACCTTTCTGCTGAATAGGAACTTTAAAGCCACTACAATATGGTGATTGCAGCCTGTAATCCATTATTCCTTAATTGTTTTTCACTTATTACACAATTTTTAAAAACACATATTAAAATTTGAAATTTCCCGTCTAATCACTTTCAAGAATAGCTGAAAAATGAATGAATAATCGGAATCAATTTGTTTACTAACGGTTACTTAGTAACCGTTGTCGTTAAGTTTACAAACAACATGTGATTGCAGTGTTGGCCATGCTGATGCTCAGAAACCTTACAATTGTTTTAACGTAGAAATAATTTGTATGGTTTTCATATCAAATGTCTAAAAACGTTATTTTTAAGCACATGTGACAAATTTTATTTGCATTTAAAGTACTTTATATTCCTATAATTAACATGACTAAAAGCTTTTTAAGCGATTCTGCACCATTTTTCACTCAACTTCCAAAGCCATAATGCCATTGTATCATCTTTGGCTTGATCAGCTGGTTCCGTTTTTTTACAATCAGCAAAATATTCACCAGAAACTTTCTCTAAACTTGGATCTAGCGCACAGTATAAAGTTGTTTGAGCACCATGATAGGGATTCTTAGAGAACATCCATAAAAATGGCCAAACTATGACTTTTCCAAAGATTGAATTCACAACTCCCATGTGTCGCATTAGTTCTGTGTCAACAATTCCAGGATGTAAAGAATTAGCAGTGACATTTGTTCCTTCTAATCTCTTAGCGAGTTCTCTTGTAAATAAGACGTTGCACAGCTTTGACATTTCATAAACTTTCTTTGGATCATAAGAATTTTCACTATTAAAATCACCAGTATTAATTTCTCCTCTTGTATGTGCTATGCTTGATACATTTACAATTCGACTAGGTGCTGAAGCTTTTAAATAATCTAATAATAAGTGTGTAAGTAGAAAATGACCTAAATGGTTGGTTCCAATTTGCATTTCAAATCCTTCATTAGTTACTAATTTTGGACATCTCATAACACCGGCATTATTGATCAGCACATCTAGTCTACTTTGCTCAGCTTTAAAACGTTTAGTAAAGTTCTTAATTGAACTAAAACTCGTCAGATCCAGCTCACGACAATAGACATTCTTGTTCTTTGAGCTTAATATGATTTCTTTCCTTGCTTCTTCACATTTTGATAAGCTTCTACATGCCATATAAACTGTTCCTTTCCTTTTTGCTAAATCTCTTGCTGTTTCTTTGCCAATTCCTGTATTTGCACCAGTCACAATAAATACTTTGCCCTCTTGACTTATAGGATTCTTAAAGACTTCGCCTTGCAGCGAATCTCTAGAATGGAAAGTGATAATTAGTTCCAGTGTTAGAATCTAGCTTGCTGGATGTAGATTGTCTCAATATATCTTTATCAATCTGTTTCTTGTGTTAGGTCTTTTAATACAATGACTTGTACTACTTTGTGTAGATGTCTAGCACTGACATCCAGTAAACAAAACTGATGATAAGGTTAAATAATCAAGTAAATAATAGAAATGCAATTTAAAGTGCGTTTACTGACATCGCTAAATGTCCTACTTATTAATCATTAGTCTCTTTAATGTCTCAATCCATTAAGTACTTAGGTTCTTCACAATAAATGTAATTTATTTGATAAAATAATTTTAATTTTACTTACTTGATTATAAATGCTATTCCAAAGCTTGTAGCTATTGCAGATGGCCACAATATTGAGGGTCTTTTAAAAATCGCAAAGAATGATTTGGTTGACATACTTGTTACTACTTAATTCACTTATTTTAAGAAATATTGTATGAACTGTTTTTGTTGTTGTCCAAAAAGCTGTAAATAATTTCAAAGGAAAAATAACTGTCAAATACTATTTAAAATGAGAGGGGATGCAACTTTTAATAATTGCAAAAAAATATATAATTTTTTTATCCAAAGTCTAGATTCCCCGTTGAAGAGAAAAAGATCAAAGGAAAAATTGCGAGTTATTTAAAATCTCGCAGACAGGCTAATTGATTAGTTAAATAAGTAATCTATTCGGATATATTGTCGAGCAAGTGGCAAGGAAATAGTGAAAGTTGGTGTGTTTTCAAGACATTTAAAGGTATAAAATAAATTTAAAATTTTCTCGTTTAAGAAAAATCGATAAAAAATCCAATCCAAAAATTGTGACTCAAAATTTATTAAATCCAGTGATAAAACTATTAAATTACTATCAGAAAAGGTGTGCCTTTCATTTATGATTTCTGTAAATTACTTAATTGAAGAACATCGATGAAAAGTAGTTTTTTCGAGGTCAAAACCATTTGAAGGAAAATGTACTTTAATTAAAATAATAACAAAATGAGTAGTCAGGAAGAAGAGCTGTGTCTACCAACCTTTCAATCACATTATAAGCGAAAGTAATTGTCTCTTTATTCAATGGTACAAAAGCGCGCAATGTTCCTCAAAGGTCATTCATTCAAATGGTTTATATACACAGCACATAGGCCTTAGATAATATGATATGTACTACGTAAGGAAACAAAAAGAATAGAAAATGAAAAGAATCGTGTGTCAAGCGCCGTTCATAAGAAAAAATTCCTCAAGTACTATAATTTTTTTTTCGATTTTTCATATCTACAAGCTCTCTTTCTCTCGTTATAGACAGGGTTGATATAGTGAGTGAAGAGTATATATCTCCAGATTGTTTTGGCTTGTCACATAAATAATCACAGGCATTGAAAGCTTTTTTGGATGCTTTACAGTCAATTTACAGTCAAAGATTTAAGAATCTAAGATTCTCCAACCTTAGTAATTTAAAGAAAGTAAAAGTAGGTCTGATAGTTTCTGATGTACGTAAAGTCTATCATGTTGCAAAAGTCGTGTTGAGCGTAAGGATTTGGAATTTCATTACAGCACTTTTAGATCTTAACGAGTGACATACAATAATAGTGTGCAGCTCACGAACGTATGTAGAGGTTGTTTGATATTGCACGAAAGCTTCAGCAACGGAGCTATCAACCCTGTCTATATACAACATGAGTGTCTGTGAATTATCTCTATATTTCTATTATAAATATAACTCTATTGCCCACACTTTTCAGTTGCATTTTGTTTGGCTCAAAGTTGCAAGTGTTTGCAATTTTTATAATTTTTTTTTATAATCGTAGCAAAACGTATCAAAAGTCTGTCTCAACATTTTACGTATTGAATGTTCAAAAAAATCATTTCAAGACTACTTTTTGTGAGTAATGAACGGAAGAGTGTGTGATGATAAAAATTAATCAAATTCCATTGAAAGTGAGCGTGACGTGATTAAGCACGATACTAAGTCTGTGTTGTCACTTTTAATAGTTCACATAACATTGACTTTTAAATGTTGACTTTTAGTTTAGAGAACATATTTTTAGACAGTCGAACGGGAAAATAAAAAACAAAATTTTCTTCTCTGTGCTGATTTAAAATAGAACAAGGCGACAAGGCAAAAAGAAAAATGTCAGATAAGTTTGACTAAAAACAGGTTGCACTGAACAATAAGAAATTGAGGCACATTTATGCATTATTATTTCAATTTTGGATCTTATTTTTGTTGTGTATTTGCTAATACCTTTCATTACCATCCATTATTGCCGTAGAAACGAATCATACGAAATAAAACATATAAAAAATAGCGAAGTACGATGGCAGGTTTTGCGAATCAAGCTGCCCTGCGAAGTCATTACGAAGATTTGATTGACTCCACCGAAACTGATATTTCCGAAGGTCTCAAAAATGCGATGTCGTGGTTCAAACAGGTGTTAATTCATACTACTATGTACTATGTATATATGTCCTTGCCTAAAATGCACTTTTTTCAGTTTATGTTTAATTCACATGATATTTTATGAATGTAGCACGTAATGTCTTATGTACGAACTTTTTCTTTTCAATCTATTGCCTTTTTATTTTCGTTTAATGTACCTACAAGCACCAAATAGTATAAATGTTATCAATAACTGATCGACGATAGCGCATTTTCTAAGCAAAGTAAATTCAAAATCCTTTTTCAAAAATATATTTGAAAATTAACGTTTAATTTATATTTGAAAACTATGCTCAGTTGTTTGAAAAAATAACGGTGTATTTTAAGTTTGTAAGATTTAAATCTGCAATTTCAAGGATAAAGTGCCTGCCATTTTGGGAAAATGCGCTAAATTAATGTTTCGATTAAATACATATTTTGTATGCAGCTTAGTTCACAGTTTTATGTATCATTTATGCCTTATTTTTTTTATCGTGTCTATTTCTCGGTTCCCAATCACCAACTTTAATAGACTTTCACCAAGTCGGTTTACACATAATTTCGTATGCTGTATTTTCTTATTGTTTCTCTCATTTCTCAAGATTTTTAAGACTCGAATCATGACAATAAATGTACAAACTATATACACAAAAAATAATATAAAATTATAGACTTCAAGTATGCATGAGATACAACAAAAGACCCATGACGAAATGAAATGACTAATATTTTATTAAATTGGATAATTTTCAGGCATCAGCAGAGGTTAAAGAAGCAGGCAAACGTGCCGTTGTTCAAATTCAGACGAAAAACCCCAATTTAATTCCTGTCGTGTCACCAGAGAAGATCCCAGGACCAAAATTTCTTAAAACACTGCTCAAACCACTTAGTCCAAACAACCAAAACGCGTCAACATCTTATGGATCAGATATGGGCGCGATGAGTACAATGAGTCAATCTGATGATAATGAAAATGGCATTCATGATCAAGCAAAAAAGTTAACAATATTACATTACAACGATGTTTATAATATAGACCAACAAGTGAAATCAGGTGCCATTGGAGGAGCGGCACGATTTACAACAGCAATTCACTCATTTGATCACCTAAATCCTTTAGTTCTATTCAGCGGTGATGCATTCAATCCTTCAATGCTTTCGACATTTACTCAAGGCGAACAAATGATTCCTGTTTTAAATAAAGTTGGAACTGCATGTGCTGTATTTGGAAATCATGATTTCGATCATGGCTTAGACGTACTATCAAAATGGGTTGAACAAACAAATTTTCCGTGGTTAATGTCAAATGTAATTGATAACGAGACTGGTCGACCACTTGGAAATGGAAAAATAAGCCACATATTAAATCATGAAGGCTTAAAAGTCGGTTTAATGGGTTTAGTAGAGAAGGAATGGTTGGATACTTTACCTAACATTGATCCCAATGAAGTAACATATATTGACTATGTCAAAGCTGGAAATCAACTTGCTGATGATCTTCTTAAAGAAGGATGTGATATAATAATAGCATTAACACATATGCGTACACCAAATGATTTAAATTTAGCACAGCATTGTCAAAAGCTGGATCTCATTTTAGGTGGACATGATCATGTCTATGAAATAGTTAAGGTTAATCATCTTAATGTTATTAAATCGGGTACTGATTTTCGTCAATTCTCAAAAATTACAATAAAAAAGTCGTCGGTAAACGACGAAATGCAATTAGATGTTGACATTGAAAAGATTGACGTAACAGAGTCATTTGCTGAGGACATTGAATTAAAAGCGGAATTGAGTCATTATAGTGAAATGATTGAATCAAAAATGGGAATGATTTTAGGTAATTTCACTTGTTCTTTGGATGCACGATTTGCGATGATACGAACGAGCGAGACAAATTTAGGAAATTTCATTTGTGATATTGCGCTAGCTTCGACATCTGCAGATGTATGCATTATTAACAGTGGAACTTTTAGGTCAGATCAGGTTCATGCTGCTGGTCCATTTTCAATGAAAGACTTAGTCTCAATAATTCCTATGCAAGACCCTTTAATTGTCATTGAAGTGACCGGTCAGATTTTGTATGAGGCACTCGAGAATGCTGTCTCAGCGTATCCGAAGTTGGAAGGACGATTTCCACAAGTTTCTGGAATTTCATTTACATTTAATCCAGATCGAGTACCTGGAACTCGCGTTGAACCGAGATTAGTACGAATTGGAGATGAATGGCTGGATGTAAATGAAAAATATACACTTTGCGTTAAAGCTTACATGCACTCGGGATGTGACGGTTACGTCATGTTTAAAAACTGTCCAATTATTATGGATGAAGACTCATGCCCTGAACTAGGTGAGGTTTACAGTTTTTGTTTTGATTTTATTTGTGGCTACATTAATGTGGTTTTGCAATAATCAGTTTATTTTACTGATTATGCAAACAGCTGACACATTGTAATCGCGGATTTCACAATTTATTTGAATTGAATGAATTGAACTGAAAAGAATTCATTTCTGTTCAGTTCATTTTAACTTGATTCAGTTCATTTGAATTTTTTTGATCCGGTAAATTTTGAACTTTTGAATGCCGTTAAATTTTAATAACTTATTGACAACAATATGATTGATATTTATAGGGCTAGCAATACAAAATCACTTTAAAGCAATCGATCTTAAGATGGGTAAAACTGGAAAGCACTCAAAACATCGTCAAAGTTTAGTAACATTGTCTCGTAGACACAGCATGGTACAAATGTTAGAGAATCTCGAGCTTGATGGACCAAATCCAGTCAGGATCCATCATCCACCGACTAATCATCCTCTAAATCCACCAATCTCAACTAGCGCAAAGGTAAAATTTGTTTTTTAATTTCACTGATCAGAAATTTGAGATTTTCTCTTTTAAAACTGCATAATTAGATGTTAAGACGTGCTTCCCTCGACGACTTGGAACAATCATCGTGTAATTTAGCTCCCACAATACAACATCGAATCGTTATGGTACAAAATGAGGATCACTTAAAGCAAATGCTTTTGAGACGCGAAGCTATGGAGAAAACCACCGAGATTATCAACGAGATGGATGAGAATAGTCCAACACAATAAGCAAGGAAATGACAAATGACAAAATAAATAAGAGACAACATGAACACGGTAACTTTAATGAAGCATATATTATATTTTAGTGTTTTAAAACAAAAATCAGAGTGTCAACATTCCTATGCTGGAACAATGATATTAGCCGATCCATGATGAATGACATTATTTAAAAAACGTATTTTTTGAGCTTTATTAGCATGTAAAAAAAGGAAATCTGACTTTATGTTTTTCGTTGAGTGAGATAATGATGTAAAATTTTATTATGATAAACTTTACAAAAGGACATCAATCGAGTTGTTTTATTCTTGTTGTGGAATTAAAAAAAAATGTTTTAAATTATATCGGTGGTACTATATACTATAAACTATGTCATATGAGAGTATAAAACTAGAGCTTATTAAGCTTGTTAATTAAATTATTAAAAGATTGAGAAACGAACAAAAATTGATAGGAATGAAGCCTTTTTTGATCACTGAAAATAAATCATTGCACTTGAACTTAATCATTCTGTGTCTGTCTATTTACTTAATGTATGAATGCATATATGCAGTAATGATGTCATGCAAGTTCGTGCATTGAACTTTATAAAATTGTTCAAAAGTAACGGTTCAAAAATATTTAAAATTTTGCATTTTTGTGCTAAGGGGTAAGCGACTAAACGTCAAGCTAAAGATTAATGCTAAAATAGGTGCAGAAGAAAATTTAATTCTCCAATTTATCCAATTTCACGTCTTTATTCTATTATTTTGTTAAATAATTAAGAAATTGGGAGTCGTGGAAAGTCAGTGATAGTGGGAGACGTTGGAGTTTTTGCCTAAAAACACGTTAAATAAATTTTCAATAGTTTTTCTTTTAAGAAAATTCCTTTACACTGCAATTTTAATTAATTCTTATCAGAGACTCGTAAGTAAACATCATCAACTTGTGGAATATTAGTGTAGTGATCGCTCTCGTTTAGAGTAAATATGTTAAATTAATTATTTCGCTTTTCTGGATCTTGAAAAAAGATTTACTTAATCTCACTGGATCTTAAAAATCAAAAAATAATCAATAAAACATTAATAATGATAATAAATGTATAGCGATTTCTATTTCTTCATTACAGTTCTCTTGTTGGCACTGCCTGCTAATCGTGAATATTTGAAAAATACACCTGTTTTTGGGTGCAATATCTATTTGTGCTGCTTGCCCATACACTTTCTTGATTGATGCCAAAGTAACAGAAAAGAAAAATATATAATAAAATACGAAAGGAATACGAAGAAGAAGGTAGAGAAAGAAAGAAAGACGAAGAAAACAGTGAGAAGCCAATTATCTGACTGACTGGGTGAGATAGATCGAAATAACAAAGTTTACTATCAATAATGATGAGCAATGAGGCAATGGAGTATGAACAAGCTCGGAATTTGACGCTACTCTTCTTCCTTGAACGGTTAATTGATAAAAATGAACCACGCACGTTACACGACTTGTCATGTCAATTTGGAGCTCCAGGATTTACAAAAGAAATGCGACAAATTGCAGGTGGCAGTCAATCAGGTACGAAACTCTATTTCCACATACATATATTAATTGTTGCTATTTTAAATTTTTGCTTTTTGACTTTTGTTGCATAATTCATCAAAAATATGTGCATTCACAATTATTATAATTCATATACTTTAATTAGGCTGTTTAAATAGTTTGCAAATGACTATTGTTATTGTTTTTTTATCATTGCATACTCATACACAATTGAAGCCTTTTATTTGCTTTTAAATTGATTATGTGGTGACCATTTAGTTAAATCACATATATGACATGTCAATATCAAGTCACAAAAGTCTTATGTGTGAGAAAACAGTCGTTGAAGAACTACTCCTATCTCATTTGCATATTTTTTTTCTTTCTTTGTTCAATGAATTCATACATTTGTGTATATTTTGCGATATAAATGTGAAAAACATCTTTCAAAATATTATTAAACTAATTCCGAACAGCACGTGACTATTAAATTCTAACGTTTTTGAAATATTCAAATTTTACTGGTTTTCTGAATTTCACATTATTACATACTTTTTAAATTCTTAAAAATCCGTTTAATTTAAAATTTATTTCATTATATTAATTAAGCATTTTGTGCCGCTCGGACATACTGATTTATCTTATGTGTTGGTGAAAATAACTATTATTATTTTTATTTCTTTTGTAGGACTGAAGAAATTTCTAATGCAATACCCAGCACTTTTTCAAGTCGACGGAGATTATGTTAATGTTAATAATTATCAGCATCGAGAGGAGGGTAATGTTGCTGGTCGAAAGGATTATATTCAAGAAGCGAGAGAGTATTTTTCGCATAAATTATTGCAATATGGTGTCGGAACAGAAGTTCCAATTAAATCACTTCTTGGCCATCGATCACAAGCATCACCACAAGTTAGACATATCAGTGGACAGCACATAAAGGAATTTACAGATTTTCTCGCTAAACATCCCGATATTTTTCATCTTACTGAAGATCATGTTGTTTTAATTAATTATGATTCGGCGACGTTTATTCCAGCGACTGAAAAATTACATCTACCTCAAGCAAATATTGATGTCAAAAATACACAACAGATTTTAGACTTTTTTGCTCAATGCATTGAATTAAAGGGACCGATATTGGTTGATCAATTATTTCATTTAGTAACATCAAATTTCCCACAAGAACATTGGTATAAGATCTTTAAAACGCCAAATGATCTAATGACATTCTTAAAGCTATTCTCCGATTGCTTCCACTGTCAATCAAATCTAGTCACACTTCTTCAAAAGCCAAAAATTAGCGAGAACCATCTACAGCACGCGCAAAAAGTTTTATATAAAAACAGCATAAATCAAATTTCCTCGCCCAAAATCGGTGATTTTAGGCTTAATGAACCGGTATCGAATACAATTGGAAGCATACAAAATAAGAATTGTAAATCGGGATCGCCTAGTTTGAATTATGATGAAGGTTGTCTTAGCAATGGACGTAATTCCACAAATGATCTTCCATCAATAGGATTGCCACAATCATTTCATGAGATACGCTTGGAGAATTTATGCTCTCGAAATTGCCCAACAAAATTAACTTATTCACAAAATACTCAAACTCAATATCAGCCAGACACGCAGCAATATCAACAGCAGCAGCAACAACCTGTTGTGATTCCAACAAAAATCGATCGAACTGACCGAGATAGGAGAATTAATTTAACACTTAAGCAGAGAATAAGCAATTTAGTAACAAAGACATTAGCTGAGAATGAGGAGAAAGATAAGAGGACAATAAATGTCTTGCAGCCAATCAATAATGGCAATTTATCATCCTCAAATTCGTCTTCAACAAATACAAGTCCAGTTCATTCGCGTAATTATTTCATGGGCGATACGTGGAAGATTAAAGTCCTTCAAAATACTCGTGTCATAACTACAATAAAGGAATCGCTATTTGTATGTGAAGCAATTAGAAAGTCAGCACCGAATGATGACTGTGTAATTATTTCATTTGATTGTGAAGGTGTTAATTTGGGTGTTAAGGGTCAATTGACGATTATAGAAATCGGTACAATTCGTGGCGAGGCATTCATCTTTGATTTACAGCAATGTCCTCAACTTATTGCTGATGGTGGCCTTAAATATATATTGGAGGATGAAAATATCATTAAAATCATACATGATTGCCGAAATGATTCATATAATCTGTATACTCAATATGATGTGCTGTTAAAGAATGTCTTCGATACTCAGGTATTGCTTTACTCTCATTTTGTTGAATTAATTAATTAGAAAAAAAATTGTGTTAATTATTTTCAGAGTGCGCATGCTGTGTTGCAATATCAAGAAACGGGAAAGCAGGTCTATAAAGTGAAAAATGTCTCATTAAATACACTTTGCGAAATGTATAATGCTCCACCAAATCCCATGAAGGATCAGCTCAAAAACATCTACAAAAGAGATCCTAAATATTGGTCTCGTAGACCTCTCGCACGAGACATGCTTCTTTATGCAGCTAGTGATGTTTTAGTGCTGATTAACGAGCAACTATTCCGAACAATGTCATCGTAAGATATTTTATATTCCTTCTTTTTGTGCATTTATTTCATTGATATGCCGTTATTCATTCGTTTGTGCTCAGCAGTAAGTGGCTGAGACTCACCTAGATTTTTTTAATCTATCATTTCATTTTCTATTTATTTATTTCTTCGAAAATTATTGATTTTCTAACGGTTCAAAAAATAACGGCTTTTTTAATTTTCAAATGAACTGAAATGAATTGAATTATTTTTATTTTGTGAATTACTGAACAGATAACGGATTTTTTTGAAATTCAAACTTGAAATGTCTGTTGAACTATCTAAGTTAATTAATCACTATTAATTCTCGTTACAGGGCAATAAAACCAGAAAACATGAGTCTCTTCTCAGAACTGTGTACAGAACAGATTTACATGTTGATCCGACCGAATGACGTAAAGATGAAAAAGAAGCAACGAAAAATTAGTACTGAAGTTTTTGACTTAAAACAGAAGTTACAGACGACGAGCAAGAACATTGTGTTGAGTAATCGAGAGATTCGATTGCTTAGATACCTTGATTTGACTGAGGATGAAAAGGAAAAGCTTAAAGGATCGGTGAAGGTAGCTAAAAAATTGGAAAAACTCGAGAGCATTGGACAGGATAGAAACTATTCTGATTCTGACGATGAAGGCGATAATAATGAACAAGAATATCCGAGTTTAGACTCAGTTCCATCGGACAATTCGCTTCCATCATTAAACACATTCTCACCGAAAAACAGTGAGCCGCCAAGCTTGTTGGAATCGATGCATTTAATGAACGAATTAATCAATAACAAAGCAATGGATCAAGCTATAAAAATTGATAAATTGGAAGCACTGCTGTCAGTTGCTGCATCATTACCAGATCAAATTGGAATTGAAAGTGGCATTAATGATGATGGCGGTTTAGTGATGAGAGATACACTGTCAATTGGGTAAGCATGCTTAAATAATTTATGTCACTATTTTGACACAGCTTATTGACATTTTGTCATTTATAGATCGAATCGATCAAGCGCAACAGACATAACAAAATTAAATAATTCACTGCAAGCATACATTGATAGTCCAACACCCTCATCATGTTCAATTATATCAACAAGTCATGGCATGAGGAAGGAAGTCGCATGTCAGACATTGTCAACAGGTGATATTGTAATTACGAAGATATTTTTTGAAGAGGATAAGCAGAATATGGACAAGACGCTTATTTCGTCACCGAAACGAGACAAGTGAAAGGAACTGTAAAGAATTTATTGCTTCAGACCCTTTTTTTTCTATACAATTTCATTTCATTTCCACATCTTCAGACACTGACGTATAGACTATAATAATTATTATATCAATATTTTAATAATCTGGCTCAAAAACATTAAAATGTTAAACGAAAAGTATTTCTACTTCCCCAAAAAAATAACACTAATAACTAATGGAAATAAGCAAATTTTTATTACTCGTGAAATTTTGTAAGGAAACAAAAGTTAAATGAAGTATTTTTGATGTGAAAGTAAGTTTTTAAAAAAGAATTAATCGAATTAAGAGAAAAGTTAACAACTGAATTAAAATACGAAATAATAAAAGTTAAGAGTGATTATGTTTGGCAATTATGAGAGTTGTGCTCTCACAAAATTTACATTTAGGACCGCTTTTTGGAAATTAGTATAACGTCGGTTACTTTGTGATCGGCTGAAGCGCATTTTCTGTGCAAACAGAAGCTGAGAAGTCGAAAAATATTTGAAATTTATGACTATGCTTTAAATTTCAAAAAATGACTGTTATTTTTGCTAGAAAATGCGTGGAATTAATTAGACTATTTGCTATTAACTAGAAAGCTTCTTTCTGAATAAACTGTAGACTATTCGGTGCTATTGCTTTTGAAGTATTTTACATTATACACAAAAAAAATTATGATCTACAAACCCTTTTTCTTTTACCTTAATACTTCTTATGTTGATAATTTATGTAAATTATATGCCATATTCATATTATGTAGTTTAGTAATTGTGTTAATTGAGAAATATACAAGCAACAAAATTTTTAAAATTCCCAACAGCAATAAATAACTTACTGAACTTAGAACTTAGATAAGAAAAAAAAATATATATCAAGAAAGCCTTAAAAACTTTTAATCTTCCCAATTTATTTCTTATATTGCATGGACCATAGATATCAAGTAATTATATTAAAAGTATTGGAATCCTATAACGCAATTTTAGTGCCTTTTATACACACAATTTTGATAGATGAAAAGCTTTTTCGAAAGTAGCTCAAAAAAATTATTAAAAAAGCTTTTCGGAAAATTGAAACTTTAATTTAATTAAATTTGTTTTAGATCTGTCATTTTTAATGCCATTGAAATGGGTATTTTGGGTTTAATTATTATTTTATTTTATTTAAATACCATTAACTTGTTAACTTATTGAACTAATTCATCGACAATTTTTTCACTTTTTTTGTTTCAAATGAACAATTAGTTCGAGGAAATCCATCACATATCATTTTTTTTTTAAAATCTTTATTAAACCAACCAATTTCATTAATTAATTGCAATTAATAATTGCTCACAATTTGATATTTAAAACAATTGTAGATCGAAGACTTAAAAAACTAAAATCATAAATAAAATAATTAAAAAGTTCATGAAAAATAACGGATAAATGATTTTTGAATTATCTGTTTCCATTTCCTGCAGTAAAATCCTTTCAGGATCAGTCACAATTTTTTATCTCAAAAAACGCGTGACAAATTAAGGTCGACAAAAAACGCTCATTAAGTGTTTTTAAGCATAAATTAAGCATAATTAAGTAGTAGAATTACACAACAAGGACTCGAAGATGGCAGACGAAAAGGAGAATAAAGAAGAATTCAAGCACATCAACATAAAAGTTGTTGGACAAGACAAGTCGTCAATTATGTTCAAAGTATTGCGAAGTGCACCTCTCAAAAAATTGATGACTGTTTATTGTGACCGTTTAAATTTTAATATTCGAGAATTGCGCTTTCTTTACGATGGTTCCCGTATTCAGGACAATGATACACCCACAAGTTTGGAAATGGAAGATGATCCAGCAGAGATTGATGTTGTGAAAGAAGCTGATGGTGGTGCCTGTGCTTAGCTCTTATAGCGATTTCTGAAGCATATATATGATTTGAGTAACTTTAAAGAATAATAATAAACTAAGGACTAGTTTCTCTCTTAAGTATGTTTTTTATGCACAAAAAGCTTTTTTTTAAAAAAAAATTGTCTTCAACCTAAATTGTTTTTCCCAAGCAAAGCTTGGGGGGAAGCTAGGAGGGTTCTCGGGTGGGGACAACTACACGTGGAGCTTTTAGGGGTAAAAAGCTCCAAAAAAGCTCTTTAGATATTTTTTGATTAATCGGTCAAACTATGGGGCCTCGTGGGAACAGGGGGTTCTCAGGTGGGGACCACAACATAAAAGCTCTTTTTAGGGGGTTAAAAGCTTTCAAAAAAGCTCTACGAAAGCTCTCAAAATAGCTCTATAAAAGCTTTCAAAAACGGGTACAAGGATTTTCTTCAAAAATCTATATTTTAAATAGGGTATAAGGAGTTTTTTTTTGAAAATCTATATTTTAAATAGGGTTTAAGGATTGTCTTCGAAAATCTATTATTGTTTTTATTCCTTCTGATTAGCCTTTACAACACCTGGTAGATCTCAACACTATTATAGAACAAGCTTTTTTGAAAGCTTTTGACCCCCCGAAAGAGCTTTTATGTTGTGGTCCCCACCCGAGAACCCCCTGTTCCCACGAGGCCCCCTAGTTTGACCGATTAATCAAAAAATAACCAAAGAGCTTTTTTGGAAGCTTTTATAGAGCTTTTTTAAAGTTTTTTACCCCTAAAAGCTCCACGTGTAGTTGTCTTCACCCGAGAACCCCACAGGTTCCAATTGAGTTCAAAACATTCCGCAATGATTTACTCAAGAAGCTTATGGATGTATTTTGTAGCCGAAAAAATATCGCTAGAAGTAATACAAAATTCCTTTATGATGGATTAGGTATCAAGGATATAGATACTTTAAATTTTCTTCACATTAAAAATGGTGATATAATTGAGGTTGTCGAAATGCCTGGGTAAATTGTAGAGTAATTGGATGTGAATTTATTTATAGCTGTAGCATAATTTATCCCTTTTAAAAACAGAAATTACATGAATTGTAAGATTCGCTTAATTAAAGCACCAGATGGGTCTCCACTATATTTTTCAGTATTTTCAGATGAATCATAAAACTTGACTTTATAAAAAGATAAACAAATGAATTACATATTAGGGTAAATACTTTTAAAAATTGCACACTTTTGTGCAAAAAAAGTGCACTTTTGAAATTTGCACACTCATATGAAAATAGAAAATACAAATATCTCCCAGAATATCCACTTCTGATAATACTTTCTTCACAAAATCTTTGTATAATTATTGTACAAATGTTGTTGTACCACTTTGAGTTGTTTAAAGGCATCAGGAAGATGAATTCCTTCAGCAATCAATTTTTCATACAAAACGAAACTTTGAAAAAAATAAAGTTTTGGGATAGAATCAGTGACTTTATCAAATATTTTGATATCCAAAAATGTAGTTCTTAAGCTTTTTAAAATTTTGGAAGTATTTCTTTTGTGAAAGAATAAGCGGAAGTGCCCAAAAAATAATTTTTAAAAAAGCTTGTTTCTTAATTTTAAAATTTGCACAAAAATGTATCAAAACTTTTAAAATTTGCATACTTTTAAGCTTAAGAGACATTGCAAAATTTGATGTAAACATTAATTCTTCTGATTCAAAACATTAATGTTTTATGCCTAAGATAAAGATAAAAGAGAATGGTGATTTTAAAAAATTAGAGGATATCTGAGGATATATTTTGGATATGTCGGTTATGAAGAATTTAATCTAGAAAATCAAGAAATGTGCTATGCATCTAAACTTTTGATACAGCAAGTTTTAATTCTTACAAAGAATAATTGTAGCATAATGCATATTAGAATAAATATTTGCAATTTGGAAAATTTAAAAGTGGTCTTTGTTTTATAGATGAGTTTAAATGATATAACAGTTAAGTGCCTTGCTGGTCGAATAGGTAAGGCGCTTGGCTCAAATTTGGTATTGTAATTCGAAGGTCGTCGGTTCGAGTCCAGCCATTTCCAAATTTGTTCTTTTTCAGAAGTTTAGATACTTCGACTGCTTAATGTACGAGATCAAGCCATAATTGGGCATTTTGGGCAACGTTGGATTAAGGAACGGATCAGGAACTTGAAGTGTAGCGGGAGAAATAGGAACGATAGCTACAAGATTACCTTATAATGGAATATTGTCAGAACGGACCTGAAATGTATCACGTCACGCCCACAGAAAATTGAAACCAGAGCCTGAATTTAATCGAAACCTAGATTTGAAGATTAGAAGCTTGATTCTACGTCACCCATAGTGATATGAAATGTATCACTAATCAATGTAAAAGTAAAAACATGTATAAATACTAATTCTTCCGGGCGGTAACGTCGACAAATAAATAATAATAAATAAAAAATAACAAACAGCTTACATTTAAGATTTACTCGAACAACTTCATTTTGTAGATTATCCATATAATGGATATGCAGCTTTTCCTTGCTTGATTTTTGTTAAATTTTCCTGTTGATATTCAACGACGATGCTTCTGACGATGTTATAAAAACACAATAACAATAAATTTTTTGGATTTCTTTGGAACTTTCCGACGAAACATAATATTTCTTCACCCTTAAAATTGTAAACATATTGTTTGTTGACACAAATTTGATTCAAAAATGATTGTCATGGATTGCTATCAAAAAAGTGTGCAAATTTCAAAAGTTTTTTGTGCAAATTTTAAAAATTTCCATGCAAATTTCAAAAGTTGAAAATAAAATGCGAATATCACTGCTGATAAGCATCGTAGCTTTAAAAAAAGAGGTTGGAAATGAAAATTTCCACTATTTTCAATAGTTTAAAACCTTAATCAAGCCTTAAGGGGCCGTTCACTTATTACGTTTGCACTTTAGGGGGGAGGGGGGTTTGAAAAATTGTATCAAAATGTAACATAGGGGAGGGGGGGGGGGGGGGGTCAAGAAGTATGTAACATTCTAATTGTCGTCTGTCTTTTAAAAAAAAGTTCACGAAAAAAATTTGTTTACAAATTCACACCAAAAACATTTTTTTAAATTTTCCAACTTTTTAATGATTTATGAATGTCCAGATCACTTTTGATAGCTAAGCAATACATAGTTTTTGTTATATAAAGTAACAAATCAATAGAAAACTGGTTTACAAGACCTTAAAATACAATCATAATTTGTGGAAATTTTCAAAATTAAATCAATCATAAGTTTAAAAGTAAATTTCTCTAAATCTGTCATTCATATGATAATTTAATATGATCCCATCATTGTGATATTTACATTCAAAGTTGATTGAATTTTCCAAAATTCGATCGGGCATAATATTTTTCATGACATTTTTGAATTTTCTTCAAAAAAAAAACAAATTTTTGCCTTATATCACAATCCAATAATTCATGAGAATACTAATAGTATCAATCAAAACATGACCTATTAAGCTGTACAGTATTTTGATGTTTAAGAAAAAAAATACAAAAGAAAATCAACCATCAAAAAATTATCAAAATAAAATAAATTATGAACGTTCAGGGGGGGGGGGGGGGGGTTGTGAGTTGTAACATATTGTAACAAAGGGGGGGGGGGGGGGGTGTGAAAAAAGTCTTTTTTTGCGTAACGTAATAAGTGAACGGCCCCTAACAAAGATCGGTTAAAAAGTTTCACGCAAATGAAATTTTCATGAACAAAATTGTGCAAATTTCAAAAGTATGTACCCTATACAGTTATTAAATAATTCACATTCAGTAATCCAAAACTATTGATTTATTCAGGAAAACAAAATATTTAATAGTTAAGGAAATAGCAAAGGATGGATCCAAAATAAGATTCCGAGTTTTACAAAATGATCGATTTGAGAGACTAATGTAAAATTAAGAACTTATCCAAGACTCATTTAAGATTCTACTATGATGACTGTCCAGTGTATTATTATCATACACCAATGACCTTTAATATGGGTGATCATATCTAAAAATAAACTTGTTATCTGCAGTCATAACAAATCATCATTTAGTACACAGATTCTCAAACTTTTCAGCCACGCCATAATCCATAAATTTATGCAGAAATTCAAAACGCCGCAAAGAATTTTTGTGAGCTTCATTTCATTAATTAGCAATCTAGTCAGGCAGCATTTACATTTAAATGATGCAAAACTGGTGAGGCTGGAATCTCTCTGATAAAAAAAAATATTCCATCGGACAAGCCTCCAATATTCGTTAAAAACTTGTTTTTTATTTTATAAACAATACGATGCTTTGGATTGGAGATGTTAAGGAATGACGACTATTAATATTGTTAGAGATATAGACCACTTTGGGTCTTCACAGAATGTGTCGAGATGTTTGAAGTCATAAGTTAATGACCCATCAGCAAAAATGCTCAATCAAAGCTTATCACTCGAATGTACTCGAGCATTTAATAGCCAATTAATTGACAATTTGTAAGTCATCCAGAATCAAAAAGCAGCGTTGCTTATCAAAACTTCCCTTTATTAAGTCAATTTCGATTCCCAAAATATTCATATTGCTTGGCATTAACACATTTATTGTTCTGGTCGGTCGCTCACATGATGTTGATTTTTTTTATCACAGATATTGTCAAGCCAAAATCAAGTTTTCATCTTGTTTGAGTATTTAAGTCTAATAATTATGAATTTCTGTCGTCAGTCGGAAAGTTATCGTGAAACAATTAAGAAGCGACACCAGAAAAAAAGAAAGGTGCTGTGGAAGTGAATTATACTAAAGTGATTATCTAAAAAGTTCAATAAATTGTGTCAGTTAAAATGTATGCAAAAGCAAAGCTCAAGAATTCGGAAGATTATGCTGGAAGTCCTGTAAGTGCTTTATTGCGATGCTGTTGACTGTGCTCGATATTAAACTAGTTCCGTAATTTATTATTGTGCATGTATTTAATGTTGTTATGATGAAATTCCAATTTAATGTCACATTTGTCAAGTTATCAATGCACAAGATTAATGACAGCTATAGCAATAATAATGTATTCATAAATGAGACTGCAATTATTGCAAGTTAAAATCAGCTGCTGATGTGAATATTTTTTTATTTCATAGCCAAAGTTGAAGGAAGGAGGATCGTACATTATGGAGTCTCAGTCTCTTGAGAATGCTGCAAAGACAGTTGTAAGTAAGACACATTTTCAGCATAGCAACAATATTAACAAGATAAATTAATTAATCTAGATCATATTTTCACCAACGGACCCGAATACTGCTGGAAACCTGGCAAAAATGCTGAAAATCTTTGATGTCTTTAACATTGACTTGTCTCATATCGAGTCTCGATCATCAACTCGTGTTCCAGGTATTTCTTTTTCTCTTCCTATATTGTTGATGATCTTTCGTGCATATATGCATAATTAAATATTAATTTTTTTATGTGTGATAAGCATGTTTGTGTCTATTGCGTCTTAATTTTTCCTCAAAGCCAATTGACTTTGACCACAATAACAACAGTGGGATTCATTAACTTATGATGTCTATCTATTGATATGGGGAGGCAATATTGCATATCCCGAGCAAATATTTGGGGTTCTTGAATTTCTCATTATGGGAGGGGGTCTATATCCAGATAGACGTTAATTGTGAATGACTCCACAGTGAATTAATAATAAAGAAGCATTTTATGACACACAGGTTATGAATTTATGGTGGAATGCGATGCACGAAATAATCCACAGCTTCATGATGCTTTGGATATTTTGAAAGATAAGTGCACTTACTTCCAAATCATTTCGCGTGCATACAATGATGAAGAAAAGGTTGAAGATGATGTAGTTCCGTGGTTTCCAAGACGTATTCGAGAATTGGATCGTTTTGCTAATCAGATATTATCCTATGGAGCTGAATTGAATGCGGATCACCCTGGTTTTACAGATCCGACATATCGAGAGAGGCGCAAATACTTTGCTGACATCGCTTATAACTATAAACATGGCAAACCGGTATTAATTTATGCAAATTTGCAAATTCTGATTTAAAATTCTAAATATTTTGTTGTTGTGTAGCTTCCACATGTTGAATACACGGAAGAAGAAATCAAAACATGGGGTGTTGTTTTTAAGAATCTTACAAAATTATACCCGACTCATGCCTGCAGAGAACACAACCACGTGTTTCCTTTACTTATTGAGAATTGTGGATATCGAGAAGATAACATTCCACAACTTGAAGATGTCTCAAACTTTTTAAAGGATTGTACAGGCTTCTCCTTACGTCCTGTCGCTGGATTATTGTCATCAAGAGATTTCTTAGCTGGACTTGCTTTTCGTGTCTTTCACTCAACTCAATATATTCGTCATCCATCTAAGCCTTTATATACTCCAGAACCTGATGTAATCCATGAATTGATGGGACATGCTCCACTTTTTGCTGATCCTGCATTTGCACAGTTTTCACAACAAATTGGACTCGCTTCTCTTGGTGCACCTGATGATGTTATTGAAAAACTTGCTACATGCTTCTGGTTCACAGTTGAGTATGGTTTGTGTCGTCAAAATGGAGAATTAAAAGCTTACGGTGCCGGCTTATTATCAAGTTTCGGTGAACTTGAATACTGTTTAACCGATAAACCACAAATAAAGGAATTCGAGCCTGCAATAACAGGTTTACAAAAATATCCAATTACCGAGTACCAGCCATTATACTTTGTAGCTGAAAGCTTTGACAGTGCAATCGAGAAAATGATGTAAATTTTATTCAGATTTCAAATTGGAATTTCCCATAAATTAAGTCAATTTATTTCACAGCAAATTTGCCGACTCGATTAAGCGTCCATTTGGAGTTCGATACAATGCTTACACTCAAACGATTGAGGTTCTTGACAGCAAGCATCAGCTTGAGAACTTACTTCAAAATATTAATATGGAAGTTCATATTTTACATAACGCTTTGAGGAAATTGTAAATTCTACACGCGCTTAGACAGTAAAAACATGTTTACTCTATATGATTAATCTGTTAAGATATTAAGATTTTTGTGTGCGATTAACTTTCTGATGTAAAATTATTTTAATTTGATGATTCATTTTTTTTTTTGATCTAACTGAACGGAAATAAAGCTATTAAGTACACTTGTTTATTTGTTTACTTCTAATGAGCAATTTGCATATTCTAACCTGATTTTGTTGTTCTGATAAGTTCTTTAAATTTGAATATTATTATTTTGCATCCTTTCGATTTTGTTGGTACGAAAATCTTCTCGAAGAATATTAAGCAGGCAGGGGGAAATTAGAATAGGACATAGAATGTAATGTAGGGTTTTGCTTAGAGCGATCGATGATCTGTTGTATCTACCCAGTCCTCTATGATATTCTCTAAGACATACTTATTTCCATTGGTCCATGATGATGATGGGTTCCTATTGCTCCACTATGAAACGTGTGCGTCCACAAAGCATTTGAATCGCACTCGATTCTGGGCCAAAGCTGCTATTTCCTGCAGCTTCTTGTTATGTTGTTCCGCCTCCCGTTCAACAGTTGTACGCCAAGTAATTCTCATTGGTCCATAGACACCTGAAAAACATCAACTTTGCAGAAATAAGAAGAAAGTAGTTCAGTTCACCAGAGTTTTCCATATTTTCTTGGGTTTATTGATGTCTTATATTCTTTATGTACATTTTATGTAAATATTCTTTGCACTGCTTACACAATTGACAATTTATCTCCTGGGACTATATATATAAAAAAAAGTCATTCTATTGATAACCTAGTTTAATTTAATTTAATTCATTTTAAGGTAGGTAGACATTTAGTTCTTAGGTAAAAAAATCGTTTCACTTATAAATCGTTTCTAATTATTTCTTAAATGCAAATGCACTGGATAGTATATCTTGTAGAGAATATCAATAAAATTGATCCCGACATTCGTAAATTTCTATGTTTATTATAAATCACATATTTATGTCTTGTTTAGTTCATAATCATTTGTTATTGGCACTATTACTTCCACTTGAGAATAATATTTGAGCCTGTGTATTCATCATTTGGAAAGGAATCAGCTCAAAATCGTCATTAGTCATGATTTGTTGCTGTTGCTGCTGTTGTTGTTGTGGCTGTGGCATTTGATGAATATTTGCTGGCTGGTTTGATTGATTGATATTCTGGTGCTGCATATATTGCATAATATCATTATTTGTTTGTTCAGATTCCATTGATTGATCCATATGACTCGAAATACTTGACTTTTGTGAGCTCATATCATAAGTCGGCATTTGATGTTGATGCATCATACTTGGATGATGCATAATTTGTGGAGTTTGAGGTGGTGGCTGATTAGTTTGGTGATTCTGTGATATTGACTGGATGTGAACTTGTGTACTTGTTTGATTTTGTATCACTGGTCCTTGGTGATGATGCTCGTGATATGATTGTTGTGACATATGTGATGATGTACTTATATATCTATTATTCTCACCCGTATTATCTGCTGATGATGACTCCAACGGAGCAACAAATGGCAATGTAACATTAACAATAGATGGCAATATTCCATATCGTGCCATAAACAATTGCTCTGAGACTCGCCTCAACTCATCCTGCTGTTGGACAATAAGCTTCTGTAGTTCTTCATGCTTTCTCTGCAGATGATCTTGTATTTGATTTTGTGCAGGTGTTAAAACAACATTTGAATGAACATAATCAGGTGGCGGTAATATTGGTGAGATCACAGTTGCTGATGTTGGAAAGGATGTTGGTGCTGTTAAAACTGGCTGTACTGGAATCGCTGTAATATATTGTGACTGATCAATAAATGGAGTTCCAATTATTTGCGTTGTCGCCGTTGGTCTTTGGTGATGCGGGTGATGATGAGGCATTAATGGACCAGATATCGGTGTCGGATGTATCGTCATTGGACCTGGAGTTTGAGTTATATTCTGTGGGACTTGTGGATTTGGATTTGTGGAGTGAACCTGAGGTAAATTGAATTGAGGAATTTGTTGATGCGGTGTAATTTGTTGTGGTGTCTGTGGCTGTTGATTCGGTTGGTGGTTTGGTAATTTTGGTATTTGTACATTTAGACGAGATCTTGATCGCTGAAATGCAATAAATTCAATTATGAGCCAGGATTAATAGGAATAAATTGATGAGTAACTTACTTGACTAACAGAACTATGTTGTGTTAACATGGAATGATGACTAAGCGGCGAATCTGCAGACATTGAGGTTGAATCAGAATCAGGTTTATATGTTTGATATGATCGCTTCACTTTAACACTTGGCGACTCTTGAGTATGAGCAAATGACTTTGAAGCTCTAGAGCTTTTTGAACTCCAAGGTGATGTCGCCATCATTGACGTAGATTGAGCCTTTCTGTCCTCTGTCGCACTGTCATTATCATCGATATCCTTATGTGTTGTTGTAACGCCTTTACGCATTTGCTTCATAACATCAGCATAACTAACAACTCGATGTGTACAGACAACGAATTCAGGCTTTGAGTTCCATTGATGATAAGTTATGTAAAAGCGTGTTTGAAGCCAAATCCATTGTTGACCTTTCGTTAAGAATCTATAATAACATGACGTTCCTTCACCCTTTTGCATTACTGAATGGAAGTAAATTTGACAATAATAAGCGGCTATATATAGATGTAAATAAGTTTAAATATTGACTTACATGCCTCATGACACGTGACTACACGATCAAGGTCATCAAAATGATAATAGTCATATCCCGATGTTCCGAGCACTTCAAATGGCAAATATCCAATAATTGGGGATGCTCGATGATCGAGAAATAGGAACTTCCATTCGAGACTATGACGTGAGGTAAATTCACTTTTAGTATCAACTATTGACATCTCACGGATCAATTGAGGTGTCAATAATCGTCCCGTACCAACAAATATTAGTCTTGTATCAGCTTCACCTGAATATCCACTATATCTAGTTGGGATTACACTATCAACATCAGCATTATCTCCTGGAAATATGAATACGAATATGAGTATTTTCTTTCAAGGTTATGAAAACAAAAACAATGCAGCTCGTGTCGCATGGAATGAAGGTGAAATATAGACTTACTAAAATATCCATTAAATTGTACATATTCATATGACAATGATGCCGTTGGATTGTTGTCAATTGTCCCTCGCTTCACATGACACGTAAACGAAACTTGATTCTCAGAATTGATTCCATTTTGTAATGGATCGATGACAGTCTTTGGTGGATTTAGTAAAAGATTGTAAATGTCTTGCTGTTCCTCTTCAAACACCAAATCATAAATTGTCATATTCAAAAGATCAGTCTGAAAAGTGCAATGGAAATAAAAGTTATGTCATGTTGTTACTTAAAAGCAGATATTGGAAATTACAGGTAAATGTCCTAGAAGTGATGTAACGCTTTCCGATGTATAATAAATTTTTCCAGTTGATGAAAAAACAATGATGAAGCCATCGAGTGCCTCTAAGATTAGATGAGTGAACTCTTCGTTTGGCAGGAATGATGGTTTCCAGTTCTCTTGAATTTCGTGCGCTCTTGAACGGACTGAAATTTCTAAAAAGGAATTGAGATAATGAGCATGAGATTTTTGATAGCATAAGATATTACGCAGTCGAAGGACATTATTTATAGGAATTGGAAAAGATGAGTCACTGCATAGAATGATTAAAATTTACGTCATTAATTTGGATTTTTTTCTGTCATTTGATGCTGTAATTTAGAGACGTAGTCTACAAGTTATGTAAAATAAGTTACTGCATCAGCTAATTTTAGCATTTTCGAAATCAAAAATATTTATAGCCACAATGATTGCAAAGTTCCATTTTAAACAATTGCATAATGTACAAAATTTTGCAAGGTCAAAAACAATTAATTTCAGCAGAATAAACGCAAATAAAAATCAATAGGAACCAAAAATCAGCACAAACTTACCATTGTGATTTTTAAGGAATGCAATTGTGGTCTTTAAAACTGTTGACTTATCCATTTTTCTACTATTTGTTGATACCATTGAGCTAAGCTCATTCACCAACAAATTAAATTGATCTCGGCGCTTTTTCTCGCTCAGATTTCTCGACTTTCTTTTGGTGTCTTCCTTATCCTCGTCGTCCTCCATCATTGTCTCTAAAGTTATCTTAATTTTTTCTAATTTCTTAAAATCACTTAATTATGAGCTCGACAAGCTCAATTTGAAAGTTTTTGTCTTTCTTGTTCTATAATCAGTTCCAATTAAATCACTTCCTTTCGTCTTCTTATTATCATGCTTGTATAATTTGTTGAATGTTCCTCAATCATCATATTTATTCGCTGTAAATTAAATAATAAAGGATAAACTTTTTTTAATATCATAATCATCTCGCAAAACATTTTGAAAGGATTATAAAGGAACAAGAGAAATATTACGAAAATCTTTGTGTGGGCATCTTACATCACTCTTATCTTATTTTTGTCTTGTGACTTGATACAAAAAGAAACTTTTTGTTTTCAATTCGTGCTAAATTGTTATTCAGATTGATGCAGCAACAGTTCTTACATAAATAATATGATTCTCATGTTGTAATAGTTAATTATGGATTGATAAAATTCTTACAAGATCACATCTCGAGTTTCAATTACTGAACTGGAATATTAAGTAATTGAAAAGTTCAAAGTGGCAACTGGAAGTTCATTCTTGTTTGTTTAAGATAGGATTGTTAAAGATGAACAGCAGACCTTAAACACATAATAGAATGATAAATTTGACTTTAGCAGTCAAACGATCCAGTTCAAATTTATTTATTACATCCAAAACACTTCATAAACTGCCTAGATCATAGATATGGCTCGATATTTCAGATTCCACTTTGATCCGAAACCACCAAAACAGTTTATTTAAATAATTCATCTTTGTAGTGTCTCCGACCACTTTACCTTAATATTTACATGCTGTTTTAAGGGAATTCCATAAATCTGTATTGGGAATTTGCATTTCCCAGAGAAAATTTGCATTTATAAAGTCTCCAAGATTATTATTGCATAAATTGAAGCTCATTACAAGACAATAATTATTTAATTCCAACAGTATCTAGATTTTGAATGAACAAAATGCATTTCTTATGAAATCATCAATATTAACTTCCATGTAATTAAAATGTGTAATCTCTACCAGATATAGTTCCTCAATAATCCACGCGACAAAACAATAATAAAGTAACTCATTAATCACGTTAATGAATATGAAGTAATGTCAAGAATATTACAGTAGAATGAGAATAAAAGCTAGTCAGTCCGTAGATTGCATAATTTTTTTTTTTGATTGATTACATTTGAATTTAATTGCATAACAAAAGTGCGCATTGATGCAGTTATTAGTGAGCTTATGTACACATATATAGAAGATTATAAATTACATTCAAATATTGAAAGTGAGCTTAAATTGTCATAGTATTGAGTGAGTTTGTGCATGTAAAATAGAAAAAATACGTATACGGAAAAGTATTAAGTATAGCTTCAGGCTAGTCGGATGTAATTTTCATTACAATGTAGTTGAGAAAATGTGAAGTTCAATGTCATAGTTTGATGTTATCGTGAATGCACACTTTTTTTTTATTGTTTTACGCCTCTATTTATGACTTAATTAGTTTAAATTGCAACTTTATTCTTAGGCATTGGAAGCATATATCAAAGCTTTGTAAATATTCAGTTCATTTTCTTAAAAATCTGCTGTCTACAACGGAATTAGTTCCAAAATAGTTTTGGCGAATTTCAGAGAAGAATTCTAGATTTTCAGAAAAAGGAATGGATTCAGAAAGGGGTCGTTCATTTCTGACGTCTAGGCTGAGGGGTTATCAAGAAAAGAACAATATTAATTCCTAGAAATCCATTGTTCTCTTTTGAAAAATGACTGTTAATTTCGGACTTCATAAGTGAACGATCCCTAAGAAGTTAAATCTAATTTTGTTTAATTGATAAGTGTCAACTGGACTCTACAGATTCCTAAGTTTTTAGATATTGATTAATTATCATATTTTAATGATTTTTAATGTCCAAAATATCACGAACATTACTTTCTAGATATTCTGATAAATCTGTTCCGCTTTCTTGTCTTAGACTAAAATTTAACAAAATTTCATAACAAGCCCACGAAAATTTAAGATTCTTAAAACTCTTATGACACATTGGTATGAATTGTCACACTTATAATGCACGTGGATCAAGTGGAGACTAAAAAGAAGTGTGGGACTAATGTCGTGTAGGCTTCTACTCTCACTGGCCATGTCCTTTCGCTTTTCTGGATAACAATGATGCAGACCTTACTATGTAAAAAGTTTAAACGATTATTGAGTTGCACGTTTTTAAAAATGACTTAATCTAATGCTAGCAAACAGAAATTTTTGAGTTCTTATTATTCGAACTTCGAATTTTTGAGGTTCTTATTTTTCGAAAATCGAATCTTCGAAGTTCTTATTTTTAAAAAAATTCGTTGTGAATTATTATTTTTCGAGTAATTTGTAATTTTAGTGAACATTCCTACTAGTTTTTATGATTAAGATAATCACTGTGACTTTCTTATTTTAAAAATTTTAAAAAAATACCGTTCGAAAATTTTGAAATTTTTTTGTTTGTAACGGACTCTGTTCTCTTTGCTAACATTGGGACTTAGTAATGAAAGTAATTCATTTTAATGTCCTAAAATTAAGTTCTTAAGCCTTCAACAAGCCTGCAGAACAAAATTTACAAGAATGTCAATCATTTCTAGGTCATTCAATTTAGAAAAGACATCCACAATTCAAAATTATTTTTAAAAAATTAACATTAATTTTATTGCAACAAGCACATTTCGTCTCTTGCGTCACACCATGATTTGTTTTGTCATAACAATCAATCTCAAATGCTAAATTGAGATATGACATTACTTTTTTTTACAACTTACTGTAAGCCAACTGTAGTAAAGGGCAAAACTTTCCATCCATTCTTTTATTTCATTACACTCTTAGTTGAACTTATAAAAACAAAGTAATTTGCTGCAAAAGAAGCAACACAAAAAGTATTTTCTTTCCATGCATCCTGTGAAATGCTTTGAAAAACTTTTTAAGCAACAATTATTTTTTTTCTTCGTTTTCTGTGCTGTGCATGAAAAAGAGGATGGGAAATGTAACAGCTATTCTTTACATAATAATCGTAGCACTTTTTTTCATGAAGGTTTTTTTTTTAAGTCTGTATACTTTGTCTGGTATTATTGATTGGATTAGAAGCAAATTGAAACGATTGGCATTGACAAACTAACGACAAGTTCTTCACGTGATTTGTTTAGGATACGAAGGTAAATGTCAAAGGTTCAAAATTTTTATTGTGTTCGTGGAAGTGACATAACTGAAATGTGTGCTCTTTTATCGGAGAATTGTAGGTAAGACTTTTTTTGTATTTACATTGGATATTAAGAACAGTGATATTGAAAGTTTTATTTGAGATTGAAAATTTTCCAAACTAAAAATATGATTTTTTGTGATTTAACATGCAACAAGCTAAAGTGACTTAATCCGTTACTACACAGCGATCATTGGTTCGAAACTCAGAATGAGAAATTTTTTGTATTTCGGGTTTTCGAATCATACATAATGAAAATCGAGCTCTTATACTTCCTGTGTTAGACTTTACTAAAGAATATCATCAAAAGCATGGTTCGAATTTCCAAAATTCACAGGATATTCTTGGTTTGACTACAGGAATCGACAAAGAACTACAATAAGTTTGTTCTTGATAATACAAGGAATGTCAAGCATAGATTTTAATTTTAATAGCTTAGATATAGCTTATTGAACGTACTATTGGTTATGTTAACCGTTTTCCTGTAGATGTAAGTCTCTGTTTCTTAAACCTTTTCGCAGATGCAATTTTGAAACATCAACATTGTGAAAACTGATTCTAAGGTTTGAACAACTTAAGTTTATTGACTAAGGTAATAAATGACATGGACTGAGGAGAGCATTATGCTGTTGAAGGAGCAAACAATATCCTTTGGGTTCACGATTTTAATATTATCCGTTTATTCATCCTTTCATAACCAAAAAATCAAAATGCGCTTTCACAACCACAGAATTAATGGAGTTAAGTACCTTTCCATATTACGTGATGAAATAACAGAAGAGGAAAATTTTTAGAACAATAAAGAAGAAAGTTATGCAAAAGAAAAGTCTTGCAAGAAGGTTGAAAAGTTAAATAAAAAAAAATTAATTCTTCATCTTGACAAAAAAAAAAGTGGAACAGAAATGAAAGAAGAATTGAAATGCAATTACATTTACAAGCACACAAAAAAATATTTACATTCAAAAGGACTTATGTATGGATTCAATATGAAAATTCAATGTTCTCGTAAGTTTTTATTGCTGTATGCTGTACATTTTTTTTTGTATCCCATTTCGTGCAGCAAACGTAATTATGAAAAATGAGATCTTGTTACATAAACTTTCGCATGTGGATCCTCGCACCACTCATATTCACTTCTTCGGATTTATGTAACCAATTCCTCCCCATCCATTCATTCATGTACGATTCTTTATTATTGATTTATCTGTACCTTAATACGTAATCAATAAAAGGTAGTGCGATTTTAAATATAAAGGACGTTATTTATCATATTTATAACTGGGTCAAGATTGAGAAAGCCTTAGAATATTTTTGTTTTGAGCCATAGACTTATTGATTCGGAACTGATGTCTACAAGTGAGTTCATTAATTAATGCAAATATTGTTTTTTTTTCTCTCTCTACACGTAATTGATAAGTTTGCATGGAAGCAATTAGTGTGCACAGATTACTCAATTTGCATTTTAAAAGGCAATAACAGATTTTTTTTCGATGTATTTGATGATTAATTGTTTGTTTTGATATTTGAATCAGGTCGAATTGGGCAAAAATGTTATTTTAACGGACTTTTGTAATTTGAATTTGGTTCAACAATTTACCGAGATGATAAAATATAATAGGAATTCAAAATTACCGTTAAAAATTCATCAAAGAAGTATCCATAACACAATGAGGCTTGAATTCCCAATTTATAATCAAATTATCGTCGTCTTGAACTTCAATAATCACATTATCACTTATAGAAAATAAGAACTTGACAATGAACTGTCATTTTTACACTTCATATGACTATTATTGTAAGTTGATGATACACAATCTACACACTTAGAGCCTTATTATTGCAAAATCATTCAAATTGTCTTTCCGCAAACTATGCAATTAATTTGATATTAAAATTCCACTTATCTATGTAGATAATAAATAGTCAAATTCAACATACACACAGGCACAAGACAAAACAGATTTATATTTTTTTTTCTCGTGACGTCAAGTTAGATGGAATATAAAAAGGTAAGTAGTATCATGTAACAATTTCTCACTCAATATGTGTATATAGAATAGAAAAAATAATATTTAGATTCACATACATTCATATTATTACAATACAATTAGCCTATACAGCTGCATCAAATTTTCCATTTATGTAATAAGTTTTCCTTTTTTTTCTTATTGTCTCTTTTCTTCACTTTTTTTTATCGATATTTCTTTTCAATATGTTTTTTTTTTCAGAATTTTATTCACAATTTGTAATTCACAAGCTAGTCGACACCTTATTTGCAATTTAAATTCATCATCACTAGATCTTTTAAGATTTGGCGCGTCAAAGTATCATGACAATTGAATGATCATCGCATGGTTGCCATAATTATCGATTCCACACTTTGTCATTGAACTTAATTACTTATTGACTTCTTATTTGGAGATTTTGGTCACTAATTGGCACAAAAATTTTAATTCCTAGTTAATCAAAAACTTTAAATTATTTTAAATTTCAAAATATCACATCTGATCCGCAATCAGATTAAATTCAATTTTTTTATTTTAAATGACGTTTGTAAGCACCGAGTAGCGAGAGCGAAATAAGCAAAAAAGCTTTTCCGAATCCGTCTATTTCCACAGGAATCCAATGTGAGACTGCTTGTGTAATGATATTTTATTCTATTTCATTTCATTAATCCAATATACATCGGTAAATAAATCATTTTTGAAGTGTGTGTAGAGGACAGAAGGAAATTAAACGTAGAGAAGGTACGAAATTGTATAATACAGACGTACGGCAAAGGGAAAAACATTTCCAGAGCAACCGGTAGCTGTATTTGTTTATTTTTCAATTGTATTTCAATCATGCTCATACTTTTACTGCTAATTCTCTCTCAATTTTTTTTACTGCTACTTCTACTTTTTTTTTATTGAGATTTAAATGTTGACATTTATGAGTACATTTTGCTTATATTGATGACTGTAAGTCAACATATACTCCATAACATAAGATAAGAGATGATATTAGAGGGGTGAGATGAGTATTATAATTACCTGCATGTCAAATTTATTTCCTCCCTCTTCATCCTTACTCATTGTAAACATTTCTGTGCGCAGCATCTGTCAAATCCATCAATCTTGCATAAATCACAATTATTTTAAGCCGCTCTTTTTTCGCTCAATTGAGTTATTTGCAATTATTTTAATGTTGTTATGTTTTGTCATGGTTCCTTTTATTTGATGATATTTTATCTGATGACATGCTTTTGGTTAAGTTTGGGAAGTTTTCATTAAATTTTGAATTTTTGTTTAGTAAAGCTTCCGTTAAAGATTTGAATTTTCGTATGAAAATCAATTAAATTTTTAAATTTTCGCATAAAAACCGATAAATTTTGAATTTTGATACAGAAATGTTCGTTACAACTCTAGTGACTAGAATTGAATAAATCATAATCCTCAAGACCTCCAGTGATCAATTTAACCTCAAAATGCCAAAATTTCTAGTACATTCCCTTAGTTTTTTCTAAAAATAACAACTTAATTTGCAATGTGCTTTAGAAGGTCAGTCGGGAATGTTATATCAAAAAAAAAAAAAAAAATACAGTTGTTTACTTTAAAGAACACTTGTTACGTAACAACTTCCGTTTGCACTAAAATAACAATTATTTAATGTCAATCTATTTAAAAAATCGGAATTGATGTCAATTGATTCAATTTTGAAAAAGTTGATGACTTTAGAAAACTCAAAATTCTCCGTCAACAATACAAAAAAAATGTCTCTCAATGTATTTATTAAGTCTCTCAGATGAAAATGATATGAAAATGAAATACATGAAAATCTTCAATTGTTGTTGTAACTTAATACAGTCTCGGTTTCGTATTGTGTTGCATCACAAATTTTAATATACAAAACATTCTCTCGATTAATTCTGTTCTGTGATGAATTCATACGAAAAATTTATATTTATTTATTTGGAGTTTATTGTGCACACGACAACTATGAGGCTGATGAGTAAACAATTAAGACGTGCTGTAATCTACCTTGTACCTTTCCCAATTACTTCTATTTCCCTCTTTTAAATTGTTTTGAATATTTTTGAAGGGTTTCATGAATGAATGCACCGAGCGCATTTCTGAACTACGTACATGTTATGACAATTTTTTTTTGTACAAAAGCAATTGTATCCTGGGGTAAGGTAATTGATATTGTTATACTTTAAGATTTGGTTTCTTGTTGCTAAGGTGGATTGAGGTAGGAGGGTGGATATTTCAGATTTGTATGGCGAAGATTGATGTGTTTAAATAAATAACAAGTTCAACATGGAACATTGACACAGTAGTAAAGCAAGGAATATGAATCTTTTTGCTTAAAAAAATTTAATTTCCTTCTTTAATGCAAATTGTCAGCTACACAAGTGTTCAAAAGTTGTGAAGACAGTCCTAGCACTCGTTGGAAACAAAAGAAGGTTATTCTGTATGGGTTCAAATCTTAAAAATCATTTAAATAAATTTGTTGTTTCAAAGGGGTCTGAAACGGTTTCGGAACAAGATGCGAAAGTGTGTGTCCCCTTGAATGGGAATTTTGTTGATTATTTTCGGTACTTCATGCTTTTCCACTGTTTTGATTACAAAACCTTCAAATTTCAAATATAATGCATCACAAGATGTAATGTAAAAATCAACTCTAGCTTTGAGATCCTATTACTTTGTCACAAAATTGTTACGTCCACATACAACGATGAACCTTGGATGTACCTCTTCACACCCATATGTTGGTATCATTTATGAACGACCCCTTATCTAATCCTATTAAAAGGAGGATTTCCAAAGATAATGAAAAATTTACAGACATGAGATTTAATGTTGCACATAACGTGGGTGAACTTGACAGGCTATACGTAGGATGATAATGTTAATCAACAAGTATTGGAGGAGGAATAAATAAATGTCGAGTTAAGTTATTGACATATGATTGTTGCAACAGGTGGATCTAATTATATATTATTCGAATGTGAATGCTGTAAATTTTTGCAAAGATGCCGTGAATGTCTTCATTATTCATCAGAATAACGCAACGCAAATTTTCCATTTTTAGTTGCAGGTACTAAAGACTGAATAAAGACATGGAAATGTTAATGTTAGGCATGATATAAATAATCTAATACTTCATACTTTGACGTCACCATTAAAATTTTTGTGTGCAATCTTGACTAAGTTTTGAAGCCTTCGGATTAACTCACTTCTTGTAAATCCCAAATCATTTTCATCCTCATCCTTATTGACATAAGACTGAGCATAATCTGTTGATGACAAAGCATCTTCATGACATTTGACATTTTCATTAAATGATGTGGATGAAGATGTCGGCGAAAGAAGTAAATTTGTTGTCGATGAATTATTCAATTGAAAATTTTGAAGAGATTCGTTAGATGAGCTTGAAACAGAATTGTGGATTTCCTTTATATCAATTAAGTCTTGCATAATAATCGATGAGAGAGATTCAGTTGACGAGTCGTCATCGCTTTCAATGTCGTGGAATTCAATGCATTGAAAAAGATTTGTACGAGCTTTTGACAGCCTTAATTGAGGTTCTATTGATGTGAAAATAAATGAGTTATGAAATTAGTGACGTAGACTGTATTTTTAATGCATCCGAGCATTGCATCATATTGATGATAAATGTAATAATTCTTATGCTATTTAGTAATGCTGAAATAAAAGGTTTCTAGAGATAAAGTGACGCTTGAAGCAGAAAACCTTTAAACATTTCTATATCGAGAGCATTGTGAGATTCCTAGCAGAGTTGTCACCTATCGAATTCCTATCAAAGGCAAAAATCTATCCCAGGCATTACCTTTGTATAGGCAGAAATTTTTGCCTTTGCCTAGACATGCCTAGTCAAAGGCAATACCTAGCCAAAGGCAATACCCAGCCAAAGGCACTGCCTTTGTAAGATTAAATCTACTATAGAAATTGCCTTTTACCTTTAGTCTTACTCGTTGAGTTTTTTTTTTTTAAATTTGGAACACCTTTTTTTCTTAATTTGAATTTATTTGAGCATAATAGTGAATCATACCTTCTTTTAAACCAATAATTTGCTACGTCGAAAATTTAAAAAATTTAATTTGTCGTTATCAAAAATTTTGTCGCCTTGGATAAATCAAAATTCGGCGTTTCAGTCATTTGGAGGGGGTCTGTAGTTTTTCAATGGTTCAAACAAAAGAAATTTTGCATTATTGTTCAAAAACTCAACGAGTAAGACTAAAGGTAAAAGGCAATTTCTATAGTAGATTTAATCTTACAAAGGCAGTGCCTTTAGCTAGGTATTGCCTTTGACTAGGCACACTTTTTTGCCTTTGGATAGGCACACCTATTTCTAGGTAGTGCCTGTGGCTAGGCAGTACCTTTGACTAGGCACACTTTTTTGCCTTTAGCTAGGCTTGCCTATATTTAGGTGTTGACTAGACAAAGGAAAAAACTACCATGCTCCGTTGAGGCACCTTTTCAAAGGTACCTATCTGACAACCCTGATTCCTAGTCTTCGAAAATATTGAAGAATCGAATACTGGTGGGAATCGAATCCATGACTTTAATGTCTCAGTCGTTGACATAACCACTAGGATACAGAGGCCTTACTCTCTGACTGACAGATTAGCCTACATTTGGTTCGATACCCTAGATTCCACCTTACTCTGACCGTGATAGTTCCGATTCTTATTGAACATATTTACCAAACAAGCATTCATCCTCATCATCATCACCTTCATAACGTCCATATCCCATTATAAATTCTCGAAATTCGTCTTGATCTTCATTCTCAATCATGATTTTAAGGCACAATTCTCTCAAATTGTTGTTGCTCATCGTATTGTCTTCGGTAGAACAGAATGATTTAAAGAATCGATTGAAAATGCTTTTCCAAACATCATTTGAATTGCAAATCTACCGCAGAAACATGTAGAATGAGAAGGAAGGAAAATGAGTGCAAATGTTTGAATCGCAATCACTCAAACTTGATGTAAATTTATAGAATGATCTGGACTTACATTATACAGGATCTCGGATGTAGTCATGAGACTTAATATATCAATCAATTGAAGGTTCGAAATTATTTTTGTGAGAACTTTAGATGGAAGATTTTCAAGTGTTGAATTCATTTTTGTGAAGAATTTTTTTGTTGTGTTTTGTAAATTTTTGAAAATTTCAATGACTACTTAGATGAAAATGCACAAGAATGTGTTACATCTTAAATTGAATCAAATATCAGACTCACCTCGAAATATTTCTGGAATCAAGAGAGTATTGATTAAGAAGAAAATCAGGCAGATTATGACTTATTCATGAGAAATTCATACAGATTGCTTTATTTTTGATTGTGGAGCTTGATTTAATGGAATTTTATTGATATTTTTTCGAATGATTTGTTTACATTTCCACTTGAATAGTTTCTAGGTGAAATATGAGTTGAATATGGATTCAGGACTTATTAAAATAGCTGTAAATAATATTATAGAAAAGAGCAAAGGACTTTAAACTGTTTTCATTCATCAAGTCAGCTTGAGTATGAATAAATTGTAAAATTTCAATTTTCACAACAATTGTAAATAAATCTGTAAGAAAATTGCGCCAAAATATACAAATTCAAAAATTAACGGTTTAAAAAAGTAAAATCGAGAAAAAAAGTCAAATAATTTTGATTTTTTATATTTTTTCATTTTCATTTATTTGACAAAATAGCAAGAGGTTTCTCTTCATTTTCATTTTAAATTAATTATTGAAAGTATAAAAAACTTAAGAATTATTTAAATACACTTGTTTTTATCATCATCATTCATAAATTACTTCACAAACTCATTTAATTAAGGTAATAAACTTTTACAATCATTACAATTTTATTTTATCCTTATTATTAAATTCTTGAGACCATTTTGGTCGATTTTCATGTTTTTCTTTATTTGATAAAATAAATTAATATAGCTGTCAAATAAATTATTTAAATTAAATGCACGTAATTTATTTTTTCATTATTTTTTATGCCACAAGAATATTTTTTTCTTCTTTTCAACTTATTTGATTAATGATCACACAAAATACAGTAATTATAATTTTTGTTCAATAGATGCTCCTTAATTTCATACTCGAAAGTTCTGGATGTTGAAGTCTAACCTCAAAAGTTCTCAGAATCATTTCAATTAGTATGAAATCAAATGCATGTACCGAATTCATACATTAATTTATAGAAATGCAGTGTTGTTATCTAGGTTTTGGACAGGGCTAGTCCTAATCTATGTGAGATTGATCTGTAGCAAAGAAATGACTGACTCTAGGTTAGTGATGCGGATTAAAACCAAAACAATTAACTTTCAGGTTAACTTTAGATTCTGAATAAACTTGAAAGCATCTATGTCTACACATTATTCTCAGCTTTAGGCTTTTTTCGTCACCAGGAAACTGCTTAGGTTAACACAGTATCGTAAAAGAGTCCTTGATCCAAGAACCAAGAACCATTGGTTTTTGATTCCTGTTTCTTGGTTTTTGGTTCTTTCAAGTCATTCTGGTTGAGGTTATAACTTTTCCAAAATCTTCAATTCAACCTAGCCCAGACATCCAGCATAACAACACTGTAGAAATGAGAAGCTTCAAAAAGATATTCCGTGTCATTCAGATCCTTACGAACACAAACAGAAAAATTAAAATAATTATTTTCACAGCATTCAGTTCTCAATTAAAAATTGGGAATTGAAGAAAAAACACAAAAGAAAAGTGAACAGAAATGAAAAATTGGAATTATTTGAGTTAATAGATATCGTTCCTTACATATCTATAGAAATGGCTCTGTCGGATTTTTTATTTAAAGTTTTTTTTTCTCTAGTATAGAAGAAGGTCGATTACATGATGGATTCTTGAAAAACATTTAATATCCTATTCTAAAATGTATGATCTTTAATGTATGTCGAAATATGGATTTTTAATAAGTTAATTTACTTTTTTTTAAATTTTTTTTTATATAGAGACTAATGCCATCATGTTTCACTAATTGGTCGAATATATTGATTTATGCATGAAATTGTGTCCACGAATTGTTTTTTCTATTCTTATTTAATTCTTTTTTTTTTGGTAAAAATTCTTGTTGTTGTAGTTGGTGTTGAGTTCTATAATTGTCTGGAGTTGACGAGGAATGTCATTTGCACTTTTATTTTGGGTATGGCAAACTATTGAGGTACTTTAACACTATTCTAATAAGGATGTATATTAATAGCATGTTTTTATAGGAGTATTTGGTACTTTATACTAGCTACTTCCAACTACATCTTTATTCTATGATATCTTTGCTATATCATATCTAAACATCTCTTCAGTCTGCTCTTTAAGTCATCATGCACATCCTACTCTAGGCTTTTTGGTCTAACCTAAAATAGTGTTTGCTTGATGTCTAATAGAATACACTTAGAATAGGTTGGAGTATGGTATCCTTAGTATTCTTAGTATCATAGGACAAAGCCTGATTAGATTTATTATGAATTCAAGTAGTCATTAGCTTCATTAAACATCTAAGCTAGCTTCGTCCTCGGCTAAGACTTGTTCATATTGTAATTGGCGTGGGATAGGACTCCTTAAAACAAGAATAGGATGCTCCTGATAAAGTACAAGTTGCCATAGTTGTAGAATATGGTACCTGATAGGAATTGAGCTTCTCTTTAAATACCTATTAGCTAACAATCCACAAGACACCCAATAATCAAAAAGTGACATCCTTGCCAAATTCAAACAATTGTCCTCAACATAATCTATGTTTTCTCTCTTTACTACATATTTGTTGCTTCTCTTAATTAATCACTTACTTAGTTAAATATATATTAAAGATTTATTTTTCTTCTTCTTGCATTCTTACTTAGGTTAGGTTTTAAAAGATTGTCGATTACATAACACAATCACAGCGCCATATCATTCAATAGTTTTACATGCAAATAGAATTCTTTTTCTTCTTAATTTTTAATCTTTTTTGATGAGATAATTTTAGTTCAAGGGATGGTAACTTTTTATTTGAAATTTTCTTTAAAATCTTGGGATTTTACGAGCGGGTAATTTAATTTTTACCCATCATTCTGCTGCCCCCTCTGAATTTCATAAATTTGAGGATTTTTTGGAAAGTCAAAAAAAACTACCATCCCTTGGTTAAAAAATAATTATAATAATAAAAGAAAAGGATGAACAATTTCTTTATTAATCTTATATTTTAAACACGAATCTGGGTAATTAAAGGAACAATTTTTTTCTCTTATTTTTCAACATCAATAATATGAATGAATAGTTAATTAAATGGGAAACAATTTAAAGGACAAAAAAAATTACTAGTTTTTTTTTTGGAATAAAACTTTCGACTGTCAATACTGTTTGATTAATCGTTGGAAGTATTGACTCTTTTAATTCAACATTTATGAAATTTTCTGTGATTTTTAACGAATTTTCAATTTAAAAAAAAATTTAACAAACATTTCAAATTTTAACGAATTTTTTCACATTTAATTTGAGATTTTTAAAAGTAATTTGCACTAAATTTTAAGCAACATTCAATTGAGATTTTTTAATTATTTCGCAGTGAAGCTAATTAATCACCAGAAAATTCCATAAACAATTTCTCAACAAAATTAAGGAAATATTCCATTTAAAGCTCAAAAAAATTTGTCAATAATTAAATATATTTATATATCTGGGATGAGAAACAATGCGGGACAAGTTCAACACACAATTACTTAATATGCAGGTATAAATGTTCTCATTTTTAAGGAAAAAAATCTTTTCATTATTATATGGAAGTATTCTCAGCTATCATAAGATTGCTTTATGAAAAAAATGCAGATTGCTTAAATTTTCTCTTTTTTTTAAATTTGTAAAATGTAAAATTTTATATTCACTTTGTGGATGTGTTTATGTCTTGTGGTTCATCTGGTAGAAAAGGGAACTTGTGATTGATTGATATTTGATTAAAAATGTTTCATGTCGTACGCATTGTGGAATCTCGAGTTTTCGATCCATTTGTGCCTTAGTAGCTAGTCTTTGAGACTTAGTAGCTAGTCAATAGGCACCAATCTGTTCTATAAGTTCGCTTGCAACGATTGAGGAGAAAACAACATTTTGGGACATTTGGGAATTTTAAAGGGGGTAACAGCATGATGAGGAAAATAATTGCAAATTAACAAGGGGATAACAACATGATGAGAGTAAAATCTGAAGTAAATTATCAAGGGGAAAACAACATGATGAGAAATTCACACTAAACTTGTTCAAATCATGTTGTTTTCCCCTTAAAATTTCTTATCAAATATTTTCTCCATCATATTCAATCTCCCTCAGAATTTCCCATCACAATGATTCCCCCTCAAATTCAAGAATTGTGCAACTGATCAAAACTCAGTTCATCAGTTCCAAATCCTTATTCGAATCCCCACCAGAAGCCAGGATCTTGCTTTTATTGCAATAACAACTAGAGATTCTCGCAGTGCTCACGACATTTACAATAGGTAATTGGGTAATTGAGAAATAGAAATTTGTTTATAGCTGAGATAAAAAGTTTTGAAGTCTAGCTTGAATATAATATGAATTTCAGGAAAAAGATAAAGATAGAGATAGAAAGAGAAGAGAGGAAGAGAATGTAATAAGAACAAGAAGAAGTCTCGAAGGAAAAGAAAAGACTGCTTTATCGATAGATAATATCTCAAACTGGATGTATATAGAACTATTGTGTTGTATAAAGAGGATTTTAAATATATATTTTTTGATTTCTTATTGGATTTTGATAAATAGCAAATGTTGATACTTAAAGAAGATATTCAGTTGACTGATTTGTGTTTGGGTGATGTCTATCGTCTAATTGTTGTGTCGAGGTAGCTCTTTGGCAACATTCAATAGCTTGGCATGCTGGTAAGCCTTCACAACCAGATAATAAGCACAATGATCTCTTCTGTTGTGCCGCCATATATTCTATCAATGTCTTATCAATTGCTCTCAATCGCTTCTCTAAACTTGTCGTTGCCAGAATGTTGACCTAAAAATGATAATATTAAGGCAATGGTCATTAATCATCATAAATATATCATCATTCAATAAATAACTTACTTTTAATAATGGACTCAATGGGAGAATCGCAATAATCCACCATGTCCATGATGGGCCATCGCAGCTAATCTCCCAATCCATTTCCAATTCTGGCATCTGTCCAAAGCTCTTTAAAATCTCATTTTTAATATTCTCTGGCAAACTTTCACACCATTGTTTGGCTTTCTCCATCACTCGATAATGCAGGTCCATAATTGAATCATAATTCTCATCACAAATTGCCTCGTCCTTAATATACTCAATATTTGCCGTCTCATATCCGTCCTTTTCACTACGACGAATGACACGGAATCTCTTCGTACCAACGGTACTTAAAATTGAACATCCGTCGGCAAGTTGAACACAATCGCGTATTTCAAGCATGGTCCCATAATCAACATATCGTTGACGTGTGCTTGATGCCAATACAATACCGAATTGACGTGAGCCACTTTCGATAGCTCGACGCACCATAAGACGATAACGAGGCTCATAAATAAAGAGAGGACATGGAACTGAGGGAAATGCTGTTGTACAAATAAATATAGGAATTGCCGGTTCTTTTTCCAATTCCTGTAGCTGACGTTTTGCATAAATTTTTGGAATATAACGTTTCATAGCCGTTTCGATAAAACGCGTGATGTTACGACGCGACAATGAGAGCAATGTTGGATTCTGAACATGATTAAAATTCAAATGATTCCTATATTGCTCAATCAGCGGTGCCATACATAAGGGACAATATGTCGAATAGTCCATACAACGATCTAAGCATACCTGTTGAATAGCAAAAAAATGATTGAGTGTTAAGGAACTGACATACAGGTGGCGCACATGTCAAATAAAAAGCTTACCCAACAATATGTATGTCCGCATGGCGTAACAACAGGTCTATAAAGCGTCCTACAACAAAGTACACAATCAAAATCAGATGCTTCAATTTTCGATGGATCAACATGTAATAATGAAGATGACTTTGGTTCCATTCCTAAAGGGGAAATAAAAATGTCATGAAAATTTATATCAAGCATATGTTGTTGGTCACTTACTTCGATATTTTTCAATTTCCTGATTTACTCTATCGAACAATGATCTTAGTCGAGCGTTTTGTCTTGGAATGATTTGTTGACTATCTAAATGATTGTGATTAATATTATTGAGGCGCCGAAAGAGTCGACGATTGTGTCTATTGCGAATTCGATCTAAGAATGGATGATAATCTTCACCTTCGCCACAACTAAACGGAAAAAGAAATAAAGGAAAAGGTGATAATCAGAATTGAGGATTCTTCATGCTGTGCTGAGGAAGGCATTTTAAAGGTTGTAAGGAAATTTACCTCGAATTATCGTCCTCGTAATCATACTCATTGTTGCTTATGAATTGATGGTAATCATGTTGTTCATGCTGTTCACTAAAATACCGTTGTCGTCGTCGACTGCGTGTCGTGAGAATGTACGGAGCTGATGTTGATAATAAATGGCTATTGATTGACCTATTCGACATAAAGATCCGTTGCAGAAGCTAATGGTTGGTCAATGAGTATAAATTAGATCAATAAGATGTGGACGGCACATGAAAGATGACAAAATTAAATTATATTAATTATCAGAACCAAGGAATTGAAGCTACACAAGATAGGAAGCATAAAAATCAATAACTTACCCTCGACAAGTCGTACCGTAGAGAATTTGTTAAGTTTTCAGATCTTTTATCTAGGCATATCGACACGCAATAAGCGACAAATGATTCCTCAATTCTCCCCAAACCACTCAGTGCTAATGCTCTCCGATAATGACTCTGTATATGTGAAATAAGGAAAAAAAATAACACCAAAAGACCATTATTAATACATTCGGAACAAAACTGATTTTTTGTTATACGCAGATTATGTTTTATGGAAGGTTGTGATTATGATTTTGGTTTGTCTGACTGCTAATTGCTGCTTTTTTTCACAAAAATATGAAGAATGATGTTTAACGGTTAAATAAAATTCAAATTTTTAGGAATAAAGTTCGGTCGTCTCAGAAAATGCCAAGGGTGTGGAATAGAAGAGTGTGGAATAAGGGATATGAAATAAAGGGTGTGAAATAAGGGGTGTGAAACTGATAAAAATCTTTCCTAGATTTAAAGCCATTCAGCTGCTTCTAATCATGAGGATAACTGCTGAGATTCATAAATTTTTTAAAGTAAATTTCCGTGCTTCACGCTACATCCATTTCATGACTAAAATCTCTTTAAATATTCCAACACGCTATAAAATTGGCTATACTACAACTCACTAGCCCATCAAAAATGCGTTACAGTCGCAAATTCACTGTCCTCATTTCCTCTTGTTTTTATGTTCATTCCACTTTCCTCTTATTCTACAAATTTTTAATAAGAATGTTGTGGTGTCTTTGAGTCATTCTATGGCTTCATGACCCTTTCATCCATCCATGAATGGAATATGACACAATTTCAATGAACACTAAATGTGTATAAGTAAGTGAGTAAGCAGCAAGGAATGAGAAAAAAGGTTTTTATGTACTCGAGCAGAGAAAGATGTCAAAATGTTCATTTTTTGTAATTCCAGTACATAAAATGGATTATGTAAAGAGAGTGAGAGCATGAAAGACCATGAATGATTATTGCCAATGCACTGCATAGTGTTATTGCTTGTTCATTCGTAAACTATTGTTATTGTTATATCAAGAGCTGAAGGTTCATAAGTGAATGAAAAAAAAAAAATCATCAGACACAAAAGAGCGTGGCAATATGCGAATATTGCACAAATCTTCAATTACATAATGGATATACAAGAGATATAATATATTTGTTTTGTATGTGCGGCAGGTAAGATTGCAAATAATAATAATAATAATAAAATGGTTATTGCGAATAATGCAATTATGACATGAAACTTTTATTTTATAATCTCGTACACCCTTTTTATGTAAGACTGTGTACAGCATCAGTATTATTGATGAGTCATAGGATTCATAATAAATGGCAAACGTCACGAATGGAAAACTCTAGAGTCATGCTTTTCTAGAAGGTACTAGTTGAGATGAAGCTCCACCGCCCCTTACCCCTCAGTCACACTCCTATCAACATCCTTAGAAATAATCATTTAAGGATCTCATTTTATTGTTTATCTTTTTCGGATAGAAATGCTCATCAATCTTCAAGTTGCGTAACAATCAAATAAGGAGAATAACTTGGAGCAGTATAAGAAGGATGCATGGAGATGTTTCTAAGATATAGCACGTCGTTAAATTTTGTCGCATGTTTACACGTCGAGTATTATGACACACAAACATATATATGCACGCAAATCCTTCAAGACTTTGCTATTAAAGAGTGAACTCACGCACATTTTGGTTAGAGGAAGGATGTATGTATGTGCGGATGACAAGGGGATAACAACGTGATGGGAATTAACATTTTTTAGAAATAGACAAGTCAGTTGATCAGCTTAATTACTTAACAATTTAGCATTAAAAACATTACCCACCATGTTGTTATCCCCCTGATGTATACGAAATTAGAAAAATTTCAATAATAATGCCACCGACGTTATCGTGGAACGCAAATCTTTTGTCACTTTTAATCAGCTCATGCTAAATTCCCCCAGTTCATGTCCATGCATGAATCACATTTTTCAAATCGCTTCCTTTGGCATGTCAACCCACTCCACACATCGCATGATATCGTCGCGTCAAGATAAAATATTTTTAAGTACATACTAAAATGCAATAAAAAATGTCCCTCTTCTAATAGCGATAGCAGGCGATAGCTATATACCATATATACTCGCCATTATGCCGTCGACATAAGCTTTGTCGACATTAATATGATGCGGCATAAAGTAAACAATAAAATGAGACCAAAAGCATTATAATATAAATGGGAAGACAAACAAACAAACAATAAGTCTTGGAACGAGGCATCAGCATCGTCTCTTTTTCTGTTGGCAGTAGTAACACATTTAATGACGACCGAATGATGATGATAATTGTCAGAGATTATGCAAAATTCAGCATAAAAATCACAAATGAATTTAAATTGAGGAATAATGAGGACGTCATTTAAGAATGATTTAACAAACTTTTTCTACGCTGAATATTTCACAATTCGACGCAATTTGGACTTTTTTGTGAATTAATTTAATACATTATGTGATGATATAAAAGTTATGACGATATTTTTTTGAGAAACACCTACACAAAGCTCAGCTTGCTAATGCTGCTATCATCATGAAATTTTATTATCTATTTTAGGAACAACGTTTACATAATTTTATGTCGTTTGTGGGCTATTACTTAAGAATACTGAATTAATAATTTATAGATTTGAGTTTAAAAGAATTTTTTGGTTCTGACAAGTGTGGGTTTATGTGCAGTTTTATGAATTAAGAGTAATGAATGAATAATGCAATATTTGTCAAAAACCGTTACAAAAAAATTTGAAATTCTCTTAAAAACCTTTATGTTTTAAAAAATTTCCGTTGAAAAGGTATGAATCTGAAAATTTCAAATTTAAAACGACAGTTAAAAATTTATTTCCAGCAATAAATTCAATCAAACCAACGTACAAAATTGCAGTTCCTCACAAAAAATCAACTGTGATGCGAAAATAATTTCTTTTCATCTTTAATTGAGTTTGACAAGACTTCCAAGTAAGCATTAATTTAATATGACGACATTAAAGACACAATCAATACACGATGATTGTAAAAGAAGCAGAAAAAGTTAATGGATTCTCAGTTCCATTAAGTTCGAACGAGACTTTAATAAATTTGGAGTGAGACTATAAAACTTGCATGAACTGCAAAAATAATTGAACTCAAACTCAATTAATAAGTACAAGCATAGAACACAATTGGGATTAGGAAGGATTAGTCATGGTCACTTGTGCATTGTTATAAATTGGATTTAAGGGCAGCATAGAACATAACTTAAATCGTAGAAGCTCAGACTGTATATAAAATTTAATAACAAGTTAAGCATTAATAATTATATTCAAGGAAAAAGCTATAACACGATTTGTGAATGTTAAGCTATTAATGAGAAATACATTTAAATTCTCAATAGTATGAGACTTATCAGGAAGTGGAATTCTATATATAATAAAACATTCTTGACATTCAAGCGTATATTATTGTGTCATTACGTAACTGTATACGTAGATTTAAAAACTTATGCAAAATTGAAATGAAATTTGAGAATTTTTTTGTAATTATTTGTCATTGAGAATTTTCCTCGAGTAGTTGCAGGAACTGAAAGCTATTAACTTTGAATTTCAATTTATGTAAAAATAGCTTTTGAAGTTTATCTGATTGTGAGCGAGTTAAGTTCAATTTTTTAATGTTTCTGGTCAAAACCTTAGATTTTTTTTAAAATTTTAACGGTTTTTATGGTTTTGAATTTAAATGATTTTAGAATTTTGGAATTAAATTATTCTGAATATTAAGTGTCAACGGCTTTTAAAATTTTAAATTTTAAAAAAATGAAAAATTTTCAAAATATAAAATTTTAACCTCAAATTTCTTCTTCAAAACTTCATTATCAACCATCCAATCCAGCCACAAATCATATTCATTATTCTGCCCTGTTTACTCTACAAAAAACTCACCCATAAATTACTTTAATATGAAAATATGTGGCGCAATAAGAGTAACCAATATTTATGTAAAAAGTTGAAATATTTGCTCAAAGTCGTAATTTCTGTTGCCATTTTTTTTAAAAAACAAAACAAGAGAGTTACATTGTTATAGCAATTTCTCTGCATCTTTTACATAAAGATTATTCCTTGTGATTGCGCAAATTTTTTCCTCCTCCCATTTTCCATTATCTAAGATAAAGCTTATGATGCTCAAAACTTCTCTAATTTCATTTTCTGTAATTATTGATGCTTCTTTTGTATTAATTTCATTGCATAAATTGGATTTAAAAATAAAAAAAATTATGAAACTCGTTTGCATAAAAAGATGGGAGCTGGGATGCTTCGTTCTAGGGTCAGTTATAGATTCGAAAATCAATATACTTGACTATATTAGGTTGCCTTAATTATCATCTCTAGACCAGAAAATGTTTAATGACCAAGAGAATTCATTAGTATAAGAAAGCAGCTAGAGAAGGTTCATTCAAGGATTCATAAGAGAGGTTAAAGATTGCCAGATGTTATATCCAGTACCTGGCTTTACCCCAGATTACCTCAAGTAATTCAATATTCACAAAAAATCCTTCCTGTGTGATGAACAGCATCGACCGAGCACCTATTCGTTTATCTAACAATAAAGGAGAAAGAAGAAATACGTCGGAATTACGTAATCATTTTCTTCCATCTCAATAGCAATAGGAAGATGAGAAAAAAGTGTAGAAAATTTTTCCGGACACGCAGTTGTCATGCAATCGGGATAAAATAGAAAAATGAATTATTGCGAATGACATTTCATTAGTATCGCTGTGGACATCTCGTGAAAAAAAAAATATTTTCTTTTCTATGGCCTCTGCGTACATACAATTTCACATTGGGGTGTACTTAGGAGTTTTTGTGGCTGTTCGGTTTTTTGAGGGGCTTTAACTTATTTTCCTTTACAAATACACTCCTTGTCTGCGTCCACAACATTGCACAACATTTTTTCCATCTCCTTCTCCATAGCTTGACATTGTCATTCTTATATTGGCAGACATAGACATCACGTGTTTAATGAAAACCGTAGAATGCGTGCTTTTAATATCCATTCTCGGAACATTTATGCTTGTACGTTTTCAAATTATTCTTATGTGTAGGTATTGAATTGTTGGTAAAATTAA